CGTTTTGGCAATAAAACACTGTCCAGTGTGGACACGCAAAGTACTATCAAGGCTTTTCGTGGCCCCTGTGTGTTTAATTAAAGTTTCTTACTTGCAGATCCCATCCATTTAATTGTTTCCTGTTGATAATGTTTCGTCTTAATTGTATGCCACCTTTATAACAAGAAGAATAGTGATAGATCTTAGTTGGGGGATTAGTGATTAATAGCTTTACTTGATATATAATAATTTCGTTATTTATATCCCACTCATCTGGCTGGGTTTCCCTAGCCACTCTGAGCGGCTTACAACATATCTAAAAGCATTATAAAAACATCAATCCTTAAAAACTTCCCAAAACAGGGCTGTTTAGCCCTGATAGCCCCATCATTACTGTCTATTCATGCTGTGGGGTAATGGAAGGGTTTACCTTCTCATATATACATATTTCTTTTTTATATAGTGAAACATTGACATAAAAATGGAAAGAAAACCCATAATTAAAGCTCCTCACCCTTGCAGGAGCAGAAACCAACAATGGTGCCATTTGCAGGCTGATGATTAGTAATCCCCAGCTGTAATAAACATAAATAAGGAAGGAGAAAGCTGAATGGGGAAAGTATGAATTGACTTTGTGAAGGACCTTTGCCCAACAAGCTGTGATTGTAAATAAGCATTATAGAAAAATGTTGGCCACAGGGAAGGGCATTTTGGGGGACCATGGCGGTTCTCTCTCTGGCTGTATGGACTCCCTTGTTTAATTCCACTTCCAGCTAGTTACAGAAAAGTAATGCCTCAGCAACACTAAGACTTGTTTGGATGCAACATTAGCATAGCAAGATGATGCAACTGAAACACAGGCTTTATTAATTTGGGGATGAAATAGCTAACTACCAGTATGGCTTTCCACCAAAGAGGCAACACTGTCCATCTGCTAGTTCCTAACTCTTCCTATTTTTAGTGCTCCACCCCTGAATTTGAGGTATTTTGTGCCTGTAGGCATTTTCTTCCATTGCTAATCTGTTGGAAGCAACCGTATGTGAGAATTGCACTTTTCTAAACATATCATGCCAGAAAGGAAGGCACAAACTTCAGCCAATGAAGCAGCTTTCTCAAATGAGAAGTGTGCATAGCAGTAGTGGGGAAGTGATAAGATAAATGTAGATGAGGTGATTGTTTTGAGCATCCCTTCAGAAACCTGGTTGGAGGTACAGGAAGAAGTAAAGTGTATATAAATATATGTGATAAGTACCTGCTTGTGCAGGGAATTCATGGAGCTACCTAGTTATAATCTTCTTTCTAAAAGGGTCTACTGAAGGATTATTATCGTTGCTATTACATGCTCAAGTGTCGTCCCCCCCAACACTAAGCACATCGTGTTTCCAATTATTTTACTGTAGTCCAACTTTTTAACACACAGCAGATGCCCTGGCAGAAGCTTTGCCTGCCTTAAGCATGTGTTAGATGTGGGATCTACCCTCTGATTAATTTTCCAGAAGAACGCATGTGTCAAGGAGGCTTCCAAAAAGTCATCTTTGCCGTTAGAGAGAGACAAACAGAAACCACGGCACAATATTTTCTGTAGTTGTTTTAAAAGCGCATTCCACTTCAGTTTGAGATTGCCATTCGTTTTCGTTTGCATGTACAGTGGTACCTCAGGTTACAGACGCTTCAGGTTACAGACTCCGCTAACCCAGAAATAGTACCTCAGGTTAAAAACTTTGCTTCAGGATGAGAATAGAAATCGTGCTCCAGCGGCGCGGCGGCAGCAGGAGGCCCCATTAGCTAAAGTGGTGCCTCAGGTTATGAACAGTTTCAGGTTAAGAATGGACCTCCAGAACAAATTAAGTTCTTAACCCAAGGTACCACTGTATGCTGTTTAGTGTGTTGATGGTGTGACATTTTCTTTAGTATGATATCACACAGAAAATCAGTTGTTTCAGGAGACAGTGCCTTTACCAGCATCCAGTAGCTTCTGGTTTTCATCCTGTGCTTAAATTGTGATAGCCTTTGGGTGTGCTGAAATGATCCCTTTTATCTTTAGGTAGCCCATTGTTTCTGACTCAGATGCTGGCTTGTATATTTTTGTGTTCAAACCCTACAGTTTTGCCTTTTTGTGCTTGTTATTTCTCAGCTTTGTTCCTGGCTCTCTGATCCGTCTGTGCTCCAGTTTTGATTCTATTAAAAAGCCTAATTTCTAGCTTCAAACCTACCTGATCTGAATCTCTGCTTGTCCTGGATGGGGTTTCATTAGGGTATTTTGTCAATTGCCTTTTAATTACACATTTTCTGGATACATTTCAGCCTGAACTTTTTAATTCCTTTTCACCCCCTAGTTTAATTTATAGCTTGTCACTTGCCCTGGGGGCTGGACCATGCCGGTCAGTCTTTGGCACTCATGGGCCTTGGGAATATTTTTTCAAGCAGAGGAAAACAACTTGGCTCTTAGCCTTTATAAATATAGAGTGCATAATGCAGTACCAATCTCCAACTTCTCCACTATGGAAGGGAAAAAAACCCCTCACCCTCTAATTAAAATGTTCTCAGGAAAACATCTGAGAGTAGCACTTTTTAGAAGTCCAGATAATGAATAAAAAGATTAGGCTTGCTGCGCGTGTTAAGATGGATGTGAAAATATACCCCAATTGGTTTTGTGATGTCTATTAAATGGGCATTAAATGTGCTGAGGCAGGATGGTGCTGCAGGCGTTTATGCCTCCCTGGTTGTCCTGGTTGCCAGGACATGTGTGCAACCAATGCCTTTTCAGCCTACAAGGCACACCCCCTCCACCCCTCAGAAGAGGCCATTCATTGGCCAATTTGAAATGCAGCAGCCGATGGGAACTCAACGCTAGCTGCCCAGGCGGCCAATGAGAATTCCCTCTGTGGCCGCCTGGCCATGTGCGTTCCTTTCTCACTGCCCGGGGATGGCGACTGAGCTCGAGGGTCCGCAACAACTGCCCACCCGGAGGAAGGGATAAGTGTCCATTATGTGCCTTTGATGATAAGCAGGCAGTTGACTGGTTCACCACATGCACACCCTGGCTGTGAGCAAGGAGAATCTGTGGTTACCCCCTTCTCCATCCATGGAAATGCTATTTGCCTTCCTGCTACAGCAGTGCCTATTTATCTACTTGCGCTGGCGTGCTTTCGAACTGCTAGGTTGGCAGAAGCTGGGACAGAGCAACAGGAGCTCACCCTGTTGCGCTGACTTGAACCACCAACCTTCCAATCAGCAAGCCCAAGAGACTCAGTGGTTTAGACCACAGTGTCACCCGCTCCCGATAAATATATATCCCAATATATTGGCACCCTGATAATAAAAATCAGTGCCACTACCAACAAAGCTGTGTGTTTTCCATGATTCTGAGATCACCCAAGCATGGTCTTTGACTCCCCAAAATTTCTAATTAGTGAAACTAGTATCATTGAAGCCCCACCCCATATAGCTGTTTTAACTGGTCTTTTTAATTCTTCTTATTGCCTGGGGATTCATAGTTTGATGGCCAGTGCTTCAATAGTTTGATACTGATGAATCAATAAAGCTAATTTGATACGAGGTGAAATTGGTTTGTTCCTATTTTCCAATATACAGAGCCAATAGCCAAGTTATGATTTTTTAAAATTAAATATTAGCAGTGCTATTTTTCCAGAAAAAGAGGTGCCGGAACTCACCATGAATGCCTCCCTTTTTCTCTTATCATGGCAATGGTGCCCATCTGAGAGGTGCCAGAACTGAGTTCCAGTGAGTTCTGGGTGAAAAAAAGCCCTGCATATCAGTCTGCTACATTGCACTTCTAATACCTTGTTTTAATCTTTTGAAGATTGTCAGCTTCTGTTAGCGGTATTTGTGATCCCGGGCTCTTAACGTTGTTTCATCAAACACCAATTTTAGAAGCTCTTAGAAAGACTGGATGTTTCCAATAATACTTGCTTTACAATTACAGCATCTTGAGTCTCCTAAAGTTTGTGTACTGCTATTGTTTGAAGTCTCGAAGGTATTTTCCCAGGGAGGAAAATCTTGCAGCTGTGAGCCATTTATGCACAGAAACACATCTGTATCGCAACTACCCATTATTCTTGGATGAGACTCCCAGTGCCTAAGCAAGAAGCTTCAGAACTTGCACTCTTTTTTGCTCTTGTCCTTTCCTTCTGCTCTGAAGATAGCCAGAATTATGACCTCCAGAATACTTATTTGGCAGTTGCTAAACTTCCTCTGTAGAAATATAGCATGCAAACAGTTTATGGGGCAGGCAGAAAGCTCTGTGCTTTCGTTAACCAAATTAGTCTTGGGTGAGGCTTATAAATAGTTACTTGTGGTTCATAAGGATTGCCTTAAAGGCACCATGCAAATAAGCTTTTTGTAATCTTGAGAGTTTGAGACATTTGTATTCTCCCCTTCCAAAGTCTTGAGGCACCTTCCAACAAAATAAACAATAATACAATAATAAGAAAGCACAGTTTAAGGTAGTAAACAGTCTTCACTCACCAAGCTGAATAATTGTCCAGACTGATTGGAGTTATTAGTTATATTAATATAGTGTTGGCAGCCCTAAGTTCCCCACTACTAGGCCAGAAAATCGGATAATGTGTGACAGTTCGGCAAAATGAATTTGGACTAAGCTCCCCCCACCCCCCACAGGGAACACTAATGAGTTCCATGAGCTCGTTTAAAATAAAGATTGGACCCATTCATTGTAGCGTCATTCCAGTGACACACTTGTGATGAATTTATGGTAGCTTGACTGGGGCTAGGATTAAAGTGATATTAAAACAGCTGTGCCATTAGGATTCATGCTCTTCCAATATTAATCTCAAAGTTGAAATGTATACGGATGAAATCACTAGAAGACATGAGAAAATAATAATTAGCTCCCACTAAACCCCAGTGGACCAAACTGTATCTTTGGGTGTAGGGAAAAGCACTTACATTGATGATTCTGGTAACACCATTAGCATGAGTTGATGCTCAAATATGAAGATACGAAATTAGAAACCCATCTACTTTTGTTTTCCCTGTAGGGTCCCATCGGCTTACCTGGTGAAACTGGATCATCCGGAGGACCCGGCGAGAAGGTGTATAATGAGATGCTAGTACTGATAATGTAATAATCACTCTGGCACACGTAATGTTCCAAATACAGTAAAATTGCAAAAGCTGCATGTGAGGGTTTTGATCTTGGTTAATCTTGCCAAACTTGACAAGATGATGAAGCCCTGTGCTTGGACCTCCCACCTCTTTATCTTTTTCTCTAAAATCAGCTGCTGCCTCCTTCCAGTATGGAGAATCGGAGTTCCCCTTGTGCCATTTCCTCAATTATAAAGAACCCTTCCCCTGGAGCAGTTAATTTTCTTGTTAGGGGAAGCTTACATTTATTTGAAAGATTTCCTTAATGGGGCAAATAGCACCTTTGAGAGTTGACTTGCATCAAAAATGTGTAGGAGGGAGGGTGGGTTTTGGAGGGCATTGTCCAATGCCCGTGTGACCCCAGTTGAGATTAAAAGGCTACAGCAGCTGCTTTCTGCTAACAATTGAAAAATGGAAATCTACACCCTTGATCATTGCTGTCTTGTCAAGTTTGGTCCTAAGTTACAAACTAGACACCTTTCGAACATGCACACATATTAGTGGTGTTTACCTATTGTGCCTGTTGAATTGTAAATTCATTATTATTATTATTATATTTTATTAAAGATTTTTCTTTGGTTACAAGAGTACATACATCATCTCAATTTTCATAAATTCTTTTCTGTAGAACAGTCATACTCAATGTGAGACTTTAATGTTGTATACAGTATAAGGTTGGGGGAGAAGAGAACTGCATGGAAATCAAAGACTGGCAAAGCAAGAAGTTTTATTCAAGAGCATTCTGAATGTCTGGGAGATTAATAGCCTTATCTAATTTTAGAATACACAGTAGGGTTAACTTACATTTCCAAATGTCCTTATTACTACAGCCCTTTAATGTTCTGAAGAATTCTCCATTATTCCTTTTCTTAAAATTGAAAACAGGAAACTATTATTTAAATGGATGTCAGGTTTCATTATGCTAGAAACCTAAATATTTTTCAGTGTGATCTAGCATATTTGTTATTTCTACCCTGAAGGGAAAAATTATTTCAGCCAGTTTAATGGCAGGAATTCAAAAGGAAATTCTAGAGAAAGAGAGGGATTCAGCATAGCGCTTAGTGGGCAATGTATGCAGGGAACGAGGTTTGCTCACGCATTGGGGCTGACCCCTATCTCTCCTCCCACCACTCACCCCCTAAATCAGAGCAGATTTGGGAGGAAGGGGGGGGGAGTCCTGTTGCGCAAGTGGACCTTGTTCTGTGCACACAACAACTTAGTGGCATCCCACCCCAACATTTTATTCTATGATGGTATTGTATCTGACATGAAAAATGTGAAAAGTCACTTTCGTTATATGTTAACATCAAAGTAAAAGAACTGAAAAATAAACTTATTTCCTCTCTTCAGGATATAATGCCAAGCAGTATGACACAGTAATTGCAATTGGTTGCTACTTAAGGATAAGCTGACAAGATTATTTTCAAATAAAACAAAAGTTTTGAATCAAGAGAATAAAGTATTGGGGTAATTAATCGGTTTTCAAATGAAATGAAACCCTTAAGAGGCACTTATCATTATCACACCCTTTGCTTATTTCTCTGCAACATATCATTTTACATAGAGTGCTGAAATATTTTTCTCATAAAACTATTTTACACATATGAAAGTATTATTGTAAGGTGTATTTTAATAGTGTAACACTTTTTTGGGGTCTGTTGTTGATAATTGTGCTATTTCAATACACATTCCATTAGGGCTACACAAAGTATTTGTATGCCAATGTTGTTGTTGTTATTATTTAGATTGGTGCACCACCCTATACCTGTAGATCTCACGATGTTTCACCACATAAGGGTTTTTCAGTACTTGGGGGGCAGTGGTCAGCCAGAAGTATAAAACTATTCCCAAAGACTGAGAGCAGGGTCAGAGGTTTCTTGCCAAGGCAGGGAAATCAGATGATGCAAGGTTATAGTACTTTACTAAACGTCCAAGGGCTGTGTTTTTAATTTTGTTTCCCCCCCCCTTAACTTCTAAATTAAAATTATTGGTTTGGCAGCAGAGTACGCAGCAACAGAGCTGCAGTGCCCTTGGGAAATAGACCTACTAATGATCCGGGAACGATGCTACATAATAACACGGCATCATTAGCAGGAGCAATTTATGGAAAATATGGCTGCCCCGTGCTATGTTATCCTTCATAATATTGCCATGTAGATAAATCTGATTGGCGCCTTGTTCCATAAAATCATCACTTCTCTCTTCAAGTAGAGGAAGACAGTTAGTTGGAAATGGGTCCTTCGTCCAAGGCCAAGAAGACAGTTTCCAGTTTGCCTATTTTGGAGGATTCCTTCTTCTCTTCATTGGAGGCAGGCAGAGCTCAGTTTAAGCCAAAAGAAAAGAGAAAAGCAGTAGCAGGAAGAGAACTTCCGCTAGCCAGAAGACCATGCAGCAATAAAGATGTCCCCTCATAGCGGCATTTTTCCTCCGGCCAACAAGCAGGTGGTTCTTTCTTCCAACCAGTTTTCTGAGCCACACAGGAACCAGCTCAGGAATACGTTGACAAACTGAACGCTTCAGCTTCAGGACCTATAACTTTTCGTAAGCAAAATTTTCCAGAAAACTAGCAGGAGTCCAACAACATCTGGAGGACCATATGTTCTCCACCCTGGCAGAAGAATTATATGACCAGGCCCCATTCTCCCACAACTAACCTTGCATTTTCTCACAGAGAAAGAAAAATGCAATGACAACCTATCAGAAAGTTTCATTTTTGTTGTTCTTTACCTTTTAGGGAGAGAGGGGGAGTCCGGGCCCAATGGGCCCTCCTGGGGAAAAAGGTATCATGGTAAGTAATTAATGGGAAGCAACTTTATATGCATATTTATTTTATGTTTTTAATGGCATGAACAGTGAGAAACCTAGTACTTAGAAACTTAACTGGAAATTTTCTGCTTTGGAAAGAACTCTTGCAAGAAAAAGAAGGAAAAGCAGTGTTAGTTAATCCTTTTTTAAGAAGCGTTTTAGGACCAAGTCACATGTTAACTTCAAGGTGTTAAAGTCATGATTGCTTGGAGAGGCATTTGTGTGAAATAGCCTCTACCTAATACAAAATGAGAAGCTGTCATATCAAAGAAAATAGTAGACACATGTATTTTTGTAAAAACAAAACCTGTTGTGGCCTGATTTTTCAAGAAGCAATTTACAACTTGCCACTTCTGGAGATAATCGACAGGCCAACACATGAAGTCTCAGAAATGATAAATTAGCCAGGCGTAGGAATAAAAATCTAAAGTATCTGAAGCTCTGGGAAAGCCAACTCTCCTACTTAAAAAGTAAGCATCTGGCCGGAGCAATTGGCAATAATTGTTTCTGATAATAGCCATTCTTCTCCCTCATGTGAATATTCTCATGTGTTTGTGAAGACCCGAAGGTTAAAGCCTTGAGTCTGTTGGGTTTTCCTGACCTGCAGAATGAACATGGTGCTGGTAAGATGCGAGCAGTCGCAGGCGTTGAATTGTGAGCAGTGGGAGAAAACACATGAGAGCATTTGGGTGGCTGCCATTCAACCAGACTAACCATTTCCTTCCATTTCAGGGATATCCAGGTCCTCCAGGTGGCTCTGGGGGTATAGGGCCACAAGGATTGCCTGTAAGTGAAACTTATTTTTGTTTGTTGGGTGCAGTGTATTACACATACAAATCGCCCCACAATTACATATTAACCCTAGCTTTGTTAGTCTACTGTGTACAGTGGAAAGAAATTAATTCGTTCTGCGAGTTTTTTCGTCTTGCAAATTTTTCGTCTTGCGAAGCACGGTTTCGGAAGTTTTGGAAAAGCTTCAAAAATCACCAAAGTCTTCAAAAACCTCAAAAAAGGCTACCACACCACGTGCTATGAGTTGCTCCTCGAAGTCAAGTCGCAACTGTATTAACGGTTTTAAGAAAAAGGAAACAAACTTGCAAGACGTTTCCATCTTGCGAAGCAAGCCCATAGGGAAATTCGTCTTGCGAAGCAACTCAAAAAACCAAAAACCCTTTCGTCTTGCGAGTTTTCCGTCTTGCGAGGCATTCGTCTTGCGAGGTACCACTGTATCCTTGCAGAAGGCTGATTAAAATTCACCAGCTGCGATGTGGGGTGGGATGCAGACACAGCGAGATAAAACCAGCCATACTATTCAACCAAAATTAATAATCAGCAAGTGTCAGTTCAGAAGAAGACATTTAAGCGCATGTTTAACAGAAGGGGCTTTGATTTAATAATAATAGTAATTAAATAATGGGCTGGGCTCAGGGCGGCTGACACCAGATATGAATGAATTACAATAAAAGATAATAGGGGAAGGAAAAAAACATACACACAACAACAAATAAACAGTTAATTAAAATACGGCTTAAAATACAGCTTAAAATTCAGCCTCATTTTAGTAGTAGCGCACAAATCAAGACCATAAAGGGAGGAAACATCAGATATTCACACAAGCCAGCTATCCATGCTGGCACTACATGGGCCAGCAAAAAAGCCAAAGGGAAAATTTGTATACCAAATCCCATATGAGGGGTCAGAGTGAGTCTAAGCCAAAGGCCAGGTGGAACAGCTCCGTCTTGCAGGCCCTGCGGAAAGATGTCAAATACTGCAGGGCCCTAGTCTCTTGTGACAGAGCGTTCCACCACGTCGGGGCCAGTGCTGAAAAGGCCCTGGCCCTAGTTGAAACCAATCTAACCTCCTTGAGGCTTGGGACCTCCAAAGTGTTATTAGGCCCTCCTTGGGGCATACCAGGAGAGGCGGTCCCATAGGTACAAGGATCCTAAGCTACATAGGGCTTTAAAGGTCAAAACCAGCACCTTTAACCTGACCCTGTACTCCACCGGGAGCCAGTACAGCTGGTAAAGCACTGGATGAATGTGATCCCACGGCAAGGACCCTGTAAGGAGCCTCACCGCGGCATCCTGCACCCGCTGTAGTTTCTGGGTCAGCTTCAAGGGCAGCCCTGTGTAGAGCAAGTTACAATAATCAAGCCCGGAGTTGATTGTTGCATGGATCACTGTGGCCAGATCAGGGAGAGAAAGGTAAGGGACCAACTGCTTAATACGGCAGGAATGGAAAAATGCCACCTTTGCTGTGGCTGCAACCTGTGCCTCCATAGAAAGGGAGGCATCAGAGATTACACCCAAACTCTTGACAGAAGGCGCTGGCACTAATTGAGCCCCCGCAAGAGATGGGAGTTGGCCCCCCAACTCCATGTCGTCCCAAACCAGCCAGAGGACCTCTGTCTTCGAAGGATTCAGCTTCAAATGGCTCCCATGCAGCCATCCAGCCACAGCTTCCAAGCATCTGGTCAGTGTGTTCGGGGCCAAGTCAGGGTGGCCGTCCATCAACAGATAAAGCTGGGTGTCATCAGCATATTTATCAGCGGGAACAGTGATATTTTATTATTCTCCCTGCGCTTTTCCTCTCAAGCACAGTGTGAGAGGTTTGTGGGATGGGCTGAATGGGGAATTGGCCAAAATCACTTCCCCCATTTCTGTTGTATGAAAGTTTCATTTGAATTGGAGCTTCTTCCATGAAATGAAGGGCACCATTACATCCAGCCCGACAGATTTTATCCTTTGCCATGATGACCTGATAGCGACTTGGAAATGTATGTACCTGTTAATAACTCATTTAAAATTCTTGACCTTTCAGTCAAGTGGGAACAGCACGACTGATATGTTATTGTATTGTGCTTCTTTAGAAAAATGTTAAAGAAAATTCACAGAACATATTAAAATAATAACAACTTGACTCTCATACAAGAAGTTTTCCATAATCTGCTTGCTCAACCAACATCAACAAATCTTTAGAAGGTGATGGAACTAACATCACTAAAAAGCTGTGTGGTGGATAGATGATTTTCCTTGGGAAATCCGGGGGGGGTGTGTATATTTGTTCAGCCATTTAAAAAAAATGGGTAGCTTTACATAAGTCTTAACCTAACCTAGAGAGAACCCTCATATCAGGGCTACTATAAAGTGAGGTTTTTTTATAGGAAAGGTTGGAAGAAAATATAATAATAAATGCAGTCTCCTACTCAGTTAACAAGAAATGACTTTGTCCTTAAGTGACCTAAAGGCAATCTAATCAAATTTCTTTTGTTTAGCAACGTGGTTCTTAAGAACCTGCTGCTTACAATGCTATTTGGATAAAGTTATAAACAACATATTAATGTGTTTACATCATCATCACTTCCCATCTAGGGAAAAATATATATAAAATTAATTGGTTAAGCAACTTGGAATAGGCATGGGAGGATTATTGTTTGTTTGGTTGGTTGGTTGGTTGGTTGGTTGGTTGGTTGCCATTGGCTGGTATTGAAGCACTTTGGAATGCACTTATCTATGCTAAAAATTAAATTGCATTCACTAGCTGCCTCAGCTGGCCTTCTGAAATTATTAACGTTGAAAATCTTTTTTTTATTATTTCTAGGGTCCTCCAGGGGCAAGAGGACCTCCTGGACTACAGGGCCCCAAAGGTCAAAGAGTGAGTAGTAGGATTTTATTTGTTGTAAGATAGATTTGTAGCCTGTGTGTGTGTGTGTGTGTGTGTGTATCAGATCATCTGAAGATATAGTCAGCTGATCATCTGTCAAGGTAAAGGAGAAGACCTCTGGAATATGATTCCAGTCCCTACAGCTGTAATTGGTGTTTCGAAAGGAGCTCAGGCCAGTAATCTAGGTAGGATAAACACACTGGATACTCCTGGGTTCTGAATCCACATTTTTTTCTATTACACATAGAATATACTATGCAGGCCAAATCACAGGTGAAGGTCTGTTTCCACATGCAGATTTCCTTCCTGGGTATGGATAAAGGACCAGTAATACAGCTGTGTGAGCTTTTTAAAGAGTATTTAAGTGATTTTAAAGCTTTTATGAGCAAGCCCAAGATAGGTGACACTTCCTCAAGCTGCCCCGCCCATAGCCGTGTTCCATTAAGCTGCACTCTGCGCATCCAGTTGTCATATGTTCTGAGATTTTGGTGGGCTGCTCAATGGTTAGGTGGGCTATCTGGCTTTGAGAAAATGAAAATGCAAGAAGCTGCCTGAACACAGTTTTCCAAAACTAGAAAAAACTGCAAGAAAGAGGAATTGTTCTTTCCCTTATAAAGAATGATACACTAGCACGTTATCTTTATCTTTGCATGTTCATGCTAAGCCATGACTTGGCTTTGCATTACATGCAAACTAGTTAATACTATCCTCCATATGAGAAAGCCGTGGAGAACGGAACTCATGCAGTCGTTGAGAACTTTTGAAAACAGTAGGAATTTGAGTGAGCCGAAAGATTGTACTATCAAATCCAGTTTTGCAATTCATGTCGGAAATGTAGCGGAAAAGCTTACATCTGGATGTTGGTTACTCTGAAGTTAAGTAATCTGAACAGGATCAGAAGGAAATAATTTATTATGTAAGTTTCATTTATTTTACAGTGCTATTGCTTCCAAGTCACCGATACTAGTATAGTGCATTCTAATAAGCTTTTGCACACATAGGAGCTGGTGTTAACATTCAGAACTCTTTTGCCAAAATTTAAGAACCACTTGACCTCATTTAGTATACAGAAATATAGAGAGATGATACAGAGAGGATACTGTTAACCTAATATTCTGTATTTCAGTTGTTGTCATCCATGGAACCATGGTTTGCCTGATTTTTGGTTCCCTTAGACCAGGACTCCTTTGCCATCAGCCTGAGCCATCATGGCCAGGAGTCAAGGATGGTGGAAGTTGCAGTCCAGAAACACCTGGAGCACTAGAAATATACCTATTCCTTCTTTAGACCCCTGCTGCCCCACTTGACTTTCAGTATTCTCAATTGCCACCAAGAGTATAAGCTCACAAGTGTTTGTCGGGCCATCCTGAAGTGGGGTTTTATGTTTTAATTTACAATTCTATATATTCATTTAGTATACTGAATGTAGACAAAAATAATAGATTTGGTGTAAATATGCATAGATGTGGCTTGCACAAAGATACAGCTGTTAATTCAAATGATTTGTTTTTCTGCAAAAAGCATAAATAAATTAAATAACCGTCATTGTGCTTCAGGTATATGTTTCCGCATAGCTTGAGGGTCCTCTGAGCACGTAGAAAACACAGTCTTGTTTTTAGTGGCTCTGTTTCCCTTTTAAACTGAAAGGCATTCGGACGTCCTAGTTCTCTTTATTAGAGTGGGCTACCCTTAGTGGTCAAAATACATTGAGCAACTGTTTGGTGGAGGTGGGGAGGGAATGGAAAAATGGGTCACGGGGGGGAAGGTGGTGTTGGACTCACTAAGTCAACTTTAGGTAGCGTGGTATCTCTCAGCCCCTCACTTGCAATATGGGAACAGTGAAGTCAATCTACCCTAGAAGATTGTTGCAACATTTCTGGATATTAGATATGTGAATTCTTCTTACAACTCCATATAAACACTACATTTAAGTGTGTGATATCCTGTTAACTTTTCTTCGAAACAAAGCTGACTCAATGGCACTGGGCGGGGCAGGCAGTAGCTGCCGTTTGGCAAAGTTACGCTTTTGACTTCTTTGTTTATATGGAATCGTACAGCAGACAGCCCAGCAGAAGTGACCACAGCCAAGTAGCTTAGTGCATCCATTGTGCACTCCCTGAAAATGCAGGATGCCAGCAGTGAGTCACACTGTGCTATTTATAGAAATACTACAACTCTGCTTTTTGCTTTTTTTTTTTTTAGGGAAGTCCAAGAGTCCACTCCAAATATAGGCCTATTATTATTTTGGTCTGTTATAACAAAGGAGTTTATACTCCGTTTCAAACTCCTGGTATCTCCTGGTGTGCATAACCAGCTTGTTTGTTTTAGAATGAATATGTGGGGCCTCTTCCCATTGCACCTGAAAGGTTCAGAAATACTATCCATGATTGTGGCTCCTGAGAACTGATTTGGAGTGACTCTCCTCACTCTCCATAGACAATTCCCAGGCAGTGGTGATGGCTGATGGTTTATCTCTTCAGGATGTTTCCTCTATAATGTTATGGAAGAGCATCATTGGTTGTTCCTGACTTGGCAAGACTCGCTTGATAACAGCAAGAAACAGTCTTTAGCATTATCATCCCAGTACAGTCGTACCTTGGAAGTCAAATGGAATCCGTTCTGGAAGTCTGTTCAACTTCCAAAACATTTGGAAACCAAAGTGCGGCTTCTGGTTGGCTGCAGGAAGCTCCTGCAGCCAATTGGAAGCCACGCTGGACATTTGGCTTCCAAAAACCGTTCAAAAACCTTAACACTCACATCCGGGTTTTGATAGTTTGGAAGCCAATTTGTTCGGGAGCCAAGGCGTTCAAGAACCAAGGTACGACTGTATTGTGGAACACTTTGTCTACAGAGATTCAGCAGGCTCCTTCTATTTCAACTTTTAAACGCTTGCTGAAAACCTTTCCATTCTGCCAAGATTATGCAGGCAATTAAGAATACATTTTTTCCAATACAATAGTTAATTGATATCTGATTTTAACTATTTGTATGGTGTTTATTTTATGGTTTCTCTATACTGTTGTAAACCACTTTGATATTTTGAAATGAAATAGCGATATATACCGAATTTTGCTCTCTATTACACGCAGATTTTTTCTCCTAAAAAGGAAGGGGAAATGTCTGTGCGTGTTATTGAGCGAATGTGGGGGGGTCCCTGGAGCCGATTAGGGGAGCGCAGGAACAAAAATCAGCAAAAATCAAATCGTGCGTTGCGTCGGAGAGGGAAACCTGAAAAGAGGAAGTTGCTGCTTTCCTGCATTCTGCCTCAGGGTCTTACTGCCCACTCGCTTGTGTTTCATTGCTGTGTTTGCTCAAACGGAACAAAGAGCAGGCAAATCCCCTCCCCTCCAGGCAAGCAGAGGGGAAAGCAGAGGTCTTTCCTTCTAATTCCTCTCCATGCTCCTCGCAGGCAGCCAGAAAACATGCAGGAGAGAGAGAGCTGGCTTCGGTTTGGGGAAACTTTTGCCTTTCTTTCCTCCCTCCAGTTAAATCCCTCTCCTGCATTCTTAGCCAGCTGCTTCTCTGCACACCGCTCGCGTGCTCCTTTTCCCTTCTGTGTTTTTCCTTCCCTCCCCACTTAAAATGTAGTTAAAAAGCATGGATCCACATGGATCCTCAGGATCTTTGGATTGGGCCACCCCAAATTCACCATCAGATCACATAGCAGCCTGCCCCCAAAAAATCACACACCCACTGTTGCCTGGGGCTGCAATGGTGCAAAAACGTGGTTAAAAAGCATGGATCCACATGGATCCTCAGGATCTTGGATTGGGCCACCCCAAACTTCACCATGCAGATCACATAGTCAGCCTGCCCCCCAAAAAATCACACACCCACTGTTGCCTGGGCTGCAATGGTGCAAAAAATGTGGTTAAAAAGCATGGATCCACATGGATCCTCAGGATCTTTGCATTGAGCTACCCCAAATTCACCATCAGATCACATGTCTGTGGCCACAGCATGAAGCACAAAAATGATACATCCACTGTTTCATTCAGAATTTTTTTCTTGTTTTCCTCCTCTAAAAACGATGTGCGTGTTATGGTCAGGTGCGTGTTATAGAGCGAAAAATACGGTAAATATTTTTATGAGTAAATATCTCTTTGGTACCTTTCTTTTTTAATATGGATATTTTACGGAACTCTGGGAGAAAGTATGCAGAGGTGCAGCCAGTGTGTTGCTGCCATCTTGCATTTTCTCTCTGCCCTTTTCATCCATCCAAGAGTCTCCTTTCCTTGGGCCTTTCCAAATAAACAGGTTTTTGTTTTTCTCACAATACATGTTTCTGATCTAGTATAATACATTGTCCGCGTGTTCCCTCAAGGCTGTATTTTTGTGGGTGTGAGATCACTTCCCCCACCCCCCAATTATATAAAAAACAATGTTTTGGACCAGGGAAAATACTGTGCTTACTACATAGTGCAATCATTACAGTTATGGCTACTGTTTTTAATGTGGTTACAGAAGTATTTCTGACCCATGATGGAATTTGTGTTTTTTGTTAATTTTTTGTTTTTGGAGGATGTACACTTCATTGCTATACAGCTCCTGTACAGAAGCGCTTCGCTTTTTTAAAAGTGAAAAGCAGCTGTGCCATGCCATTTTGTGAGCCTTTTATTTATATTAAATTCTTTGTGAGTGTGTGGATGTAGTTTTAGCCACATTGCAGTTGCTTTGAATGGGGGGGGGGGCAGAAGGATGCTATCCATCTGCATGTACAAAAAAATGGTACTGTGGCATTGATTGTTCTTGTTTTCTTTAGTCCATATACATTGTATAATTAATTGCATTATCTTCTGCCTTGCTTTTGACATTTCCCTTCCATGTAAATGAATTGAAATTTGCACCAAAGCAAATAACAAGAGGGATAATGTAATTGCAATGGAATTCCTTACCCTTTCCTGCATATTCCTTTCCACATTTCCACATTAATTTCCTATTTTTTTATTTTAAAAAAGTCAATATGAAAATTCATCAGCATATTTGTGTTGATTTGTTGTCTGATATACACATTTTTACAAAACGCTTCCCCCCAATATAAAGCATTTTTAAAAGTTATTTTCATGAATATATGCATTTTATGCATACTTTCCCTACTATATAATTTTTGTACGCATTGCAGAACTGCATTGCAAAATTCAAAGATGTGTGAATTTCAGTTCATATATTGTTTCAGGAAGTACACATTAGGTAGGTTCGTTTTCAGTTTCTCACCCCTCTCTATTCAGGACCACTTCCTCTGATTTCAGTGGGCCTTGCATAGGATTACAGCCTTTGGGTTATTCTTTAAAAGCCAGCACAGCAGCCATACAACGTGTTTTCATGAAAACAATAAGAGAGCTATTGCTGGAAATGCTGCCAACTTGAGAGAAGCTTTTCTCCCTAACACACACACACACTATTGCACCAGTACTGAAATGCCCCTTTTATATACCAGAAATTTGTTTCTTAATTTGTAGGGACCAAGAGGCCAGGATGGTCCTCTGGGAGAGCAAGGGACACAAGGTATTAAGGTAATACTAACTTGTTCTTTTTTGCACTTCAGAAAGTTTGTCATCATGCTGCTAGAAGGTGAATGAAAGCAAAGACTGTTGAGATGTTGTTGCTTTCAGCTCTGTGTGGTTCCTGTGATAAGCATTCTTGTCAGCTGCTCGTGTGAACTGGCGTGGAAGTGATGTATACATTTTGAAATAAATAATGGGGTACTTGGTGGAATTCAGCATAGCACTAAGGTGAACATTTCACCAGTGCAAGGATTTTTCTTTGCGCACAAGAACCTTTTCCCATTACCTCCCCACCCCACTCCCCTAAATCTGTTCTGGGGTTCCCACATACAAAAGCAGGAGAGGGAAGGTCCGATGGCTCAAGCAGAATTCCTTGTGCTGATGGCACTTATTAGTAGAATATTGATCTCTGCATTTCTCTGTCTATGTACATGGTGACAAAAGGCCCATGGTTTGGGACAGGCATAGGCAAATTTCCGGCACTCCAGATGTTTGGGACTACAATTCCCATCATCCCTAGCTAACAGGACCAGTGGTCAGGGATGAAGGGAATTGTAGTCCCAAACATTGGCGGGCTGGAGTTTGCCTGTGCCTGGTTTGGGATTTAAAAGACGAACTGAAGAAACTGTCAACTTCTGATTGTAAATTTACAATAAATTGGTTTTCTATTGCCTTTTTCCCCCCCAGGGAGAGAGTGGTGACACAGGGAAGAAAGGCATCCCTGGACTCATTGTACGTGCCAGAGAAGTAGTGTTCTTTCAGCATTTATATTTACAGTTGCAATTGTAGCAAGATGCTTTTTAGAATTTTTTTTTGACATTACCATTCTCTTAATTTTGTCTGAGCAGGGCAAAGCTGGAAACCCTGGAGAAAGAGGTAGCCCAGGAACAGCAGTAAGTTCTTCATACTTAGGCAGAAGAATTCTTTATATTGCCATTGTGCCCAAAACCTAATTATGTGTGCCTGTATTATTTTGCATTTTTCATCTGAAGGACTTCAGTTGATCAGTTATGATCTAAGCTTCCCTTCTATATTACTATCTGCTACTGAGGACAGAATAATTGTTCCTTTTGGGGATGTGTGTGTGGCTGGTGGTTTCAGATTGAGCAGAGACTTGACAGGAGGGTAGGGGACTATTTAACGCTTTCATTGACATCAGTTAATCCCCTTCAGACTTCCAGCAACACTTTCCCCAATACAGTGGTACCTCGGGTTAAGAACGTAATTCGTTCTGGAGGTCCGTTCTTAACCTGAAACTGTTCTTAACCTGAGGTACCACTTTACCTAATGGGGCCTCCCGCTGCTGCTGCACGGTTTCTGTTCTCATCCTGAAGCAAAGTTCTTAACCCGAGGTACTGTTTCTGGGTTATGTAACCCGAAGCGTCCATAACCTGAAGTGTCTGTAACCCGAGGTACCACTGTATGGCAAGAGCATTGTAGCAGCATATTCTTGTCTGTCCTCCCCCCCCCCCCCCCCGCCGGGGGGCAGCAGGTTTGAGCAAATAAGCATTTGGCAAAGAAAGAGTTGAACAACCTCTTCCCCTCTCCTGCCAATCCTCTGCTCACACTGAAGCCATCAAATTCTGCTTTGCACTGTGAAACAAAACCTTGGGAACAGAAGGGGACAGTTGTGACGTTGCACTTTAACAGAGTTCGAGTGGTTTGCTCAAAATAATAATAAAAAGGCATCTAAATTTATTTTCCCAAGAGATTTGATTTTGAAATGTTATAAAAGTGGCAGAAGGAGCAGACAGGGAAAATAATTTATTGCTGATTGAAAGGGTGACAGAATGGCAAACAAGAGACAAAGTTAGCAGAAGCAGCTGTTATTCCGGCAGGGGGGGGTCACTGTTGCTGACTGGAAGGAGAGCTGCAGGGAGGTAGGCATGGTGCAAACACACAGATGCAGCCAATCTTGCACTCCTTCCAGCGCGTTTGCACTGTACTGACCTCCTCCTGGTCAGCAACAGGGGCCCACCAGCAGAGAAGCTTGTGTAGCAAATCCACCCTATCTGAAGAGCCAGTTCTGCAGTGTAGGATCTAAACTGGCTGTTGAGTACCCTATGGATAGGAACTCCACCGTTCTACGCTTGTGAATATCTGTGGCTGATTATCGTTGTACGGAGAATGCTGGACCTTGGCTTGATGGAGCAAAGTAGCTTGTATTTTTTTGACCAATTGTCTTTCTTAAGAGCGTATGGCAAAGTCACACATGGAAACATGGGGTTTCTTGGAGAATCATTTTAAAAAGATGAGAGAACTTCCAGAGAATATAGGTTTTTTTAAAAGGGGGAAATAAAAATCTAGAGAAACCCAAAATTTATTAGGGAAAGCCTGTGTGTTTGCAATGCACTGTGATACTTCAGTCATCCTGATTAACATTGCCATTGATCTACTTGACATGTTTGCCTGCTGTTTTGTTGTTGTTGTTTAATTTGGAAATCTGCTGCCCCCTTCCTGCTGCTTTCTAAAGTGCCACAAGCATGGTCTTTATTGTATTCATTTGAAGAACATTTGAAATACACAGTTTACTAGAAAGTAAGAAAACCTACAGAGAAGAAACACTTCATCAGGATAAAAGAGGTGCATTGTTTTGCCTTCTAAACTCGTTGCTGTGCCCACCTGCTTTAGGATATTATTGCTTTGATTTTGAACTTTTAATGCAATGTAAAATCAAACAAGGGACGCGGGTGGCACTGTGGGTTAAACCACAGAGCCTAGGGCTTGCCGATCAGAAGGTTGGCAGTTCGAATCCCCGCAACGGGGTGAGCTCCCGTTGCTCGGTCCCTGCTCCTGCCAACCTAGCAGTTCGAAAGCACGTCAAAGTGCAAGTAGATAAATAGGTACCGCTCCGGCGGGAAGGTAAACGGCGTTTCCGTGTGCTGCTCTGGTTCACCAGAAGCGGCTTAGTCATGCTGGCCACATGACCCGGAAGATGTACGCCGGCTCCCTCGGCCAGTAAAGCGAGATGAGCGCTGCAATCCCAGAGTTGGTCACGACTGGACCTAATGGTCAGGGGTCCCTTTTCCTTTTTAAAATCAAGCTACAGCAGGCATAACCAGGTTTGATTTGGCAAAAAATGTCATTTTATTATCAGTTATCATGGATAGTATTTGACTCAGAATAGACCCGTTGAACTTAACGGACCAACTTAGTTTTTGTGTACATTCATTTCTCCAAATACTATTAAGGATCCAGCTTTTTTCTGTTTTTAATTGGCAAAGCAGCTAACCAATTAACCACAAGAGTTAATTTGGTAAGAGCTGGGAAGAAAACCATAAATGTCACTGAAGGGATTTTGTGAGCAGTGTTTTGATTGTGTAGGCCAAGGAATGTAATGCCTTTTAAATGGAATTTGAAACAACCTTTTTTTCTCTGTGTTGGCTTTCTGCTTTTAGGGTTTGCCTGGTCCTCCAGGAAACACAGGAGACAGTGGTCCTATGGGTGAACCAGTAAGTTGATTTCTATGATTTCTCCTATAACATTTTCCCATGCCATGCTGAATTCCTTGGAAAACAGATGTTGCATTTTGCACTGTAATTAAGTAGACCTTGTAAAAGGAGCTATACTAAGGCTTCAGCCCTTTAGAGTAAGTCTCATTGTATTCAATAGGACTTGCTTCTGAGTAAGCATGTATAGGCTTGTGCTGCTAAACTAATTACTAATTTGTACTTGCAGTCTGTTTACATGATTATTTTAGCCTGTGGTAGTGCATGAGAAAAATCTGCTCATGTTGGTGCTTAGCTACTTGAGCTTGTAGTAGTCTAATCATTTGCACCCACCACCAGATGAAGCAGTCTGCTTTTTCTGGCACCCCCACATATAACTTTGCAGTGCCTGCAGTAATGTTACAGACACCTAATGTTTCTTGTGGTTGGAAGATGCAGACAACTCAGGCAAATGGAAGAGCAATACATTCAAGGATTTTCACGTCGCTGCTGTGCACCCCTGCTCATGCCCTCTGTTTCTCCAACTCTACCTTTCTCACGCTCCCCAAATTCCATGGTATCTTTAAATGACTGCATCTCTATTCCAGGAGTGCCCCTTATGGGAACTCTCTCCTAGAACACTGAGATCACCGATAGGGAAACTGTGACCTTCCATATATGGCTGGACTGCAGATCCCATCATCTCTGGCAATTGGCCATATTGGCTGGGAATGATGGGAATTTGAGGGCTACAGCTTCCTCCTCCCTGAAGTAGGCGATATCAGTGTTCTCTCCTCCCTTCCTCCCCGCTCGCCTGTCATATGTTTGTGTGCATTGATGCTGCTGTATAAAATACTGTTTGTGTTATTATGCTGTTCACCCACATTGTTGTGTGAAGTTGTCAGCATGCATAAGCAGTTGTTCTAAGTTTAAGAGCATCGCTTTGGCAAAACATATCCAACAATAGTTAGGTTGGTATAATCATATTTCTTATGCAGCTCCGTGTTGCTTGGAGGTAGACAAATCTACATTACATGTTCATATAAATAGTTTTTAAATACTAATGTTAGTGGCTTCTGTGTTGCTCTCTGCCTCTAGACATTCTGTAATGTTAGAGCTACATGCAATTGCCCTGGTACTTTATCAAAAAGTACCGTGCTGTAAACACCAGACATTCTTTTGCTGGAGAATGTCTTGTTCTCATCTCTATACGGATCTTATTTATGTTTAAAACTACTGAAAATGCAATATAATGTAGAATCAATTGAAAGGTGTAAACACAATGAAATTCAGAAAAAAACGAACATATGTCATGCAGTAATATGTTGCTTCTTGATTGAAGCAGCACTGGAGCTATTATTTCACATGTCAAAAAGTCAACATTACTTCTGGGATTTCATTGTTATGAAAAAGTACTCTTCCCAGTAAGTGATGTAAAAATATACTGCAATGTTTCTTTACATCAGCAATATAGTTCTAAGATTTACACCACTGTCAATTTTTCAAGGCCTGGCTTTGTGCCTACTTATCTCAGAAGTGTGCCTGCAGGCATTTGTTGCATAACCTTTTTTTGGCTAGAAATACAATATAAATCTAGCAGGCAGAGGGTGAGAAAAATCATATCTCACAGCACAGTGGGGGGAAACACAGATAAATGTGTGTGAGTGAGTGTGTTATCTATATATCATGTGGGACAATCCCTCACACATATTTTCACTGCATGAGCTCAGGAGGAAAATGTGAGCAGCTAAAGGGATGAGGACCGTGAGGCCTTCCAGATGAATGTTGGACTCCAACTCCCATCATCCCTGACCATTGGCCATGCTGCCTGGGGCTGATGGAAATTGCAGTCCAGCAGCATCTGGGGAGCTACTGGTTCCCTATCCCGGTGTCAGAAGGTTGAAATGGCTTTGCTAGGGAAATTGCATGTTGCAGGTGGACACAAAAAGCAAAGAGGTGCTTGTTCTGTGTTCTTAAAAACTTGGGCATGATGCTCTAAGCCAGGGTTCTAGACTTAGCTCTTTACCTGTTATTGGACTGTGGCTCCCATCATCCCTAGCTAGCAGCACCAGTGACCAGGGATGATGGGAATTGTAGTCCAACAACAATTGGAGACTCAGGTTAGAGAAACCCAGCGTCTAAGCAACCAGTCATAGAATCATGGGATTGGAACGGACTCTGAGGATCCTGCAATGCAGGAATCTCAACTAGATCATATGTGACCGATGGGCATTTGCTCTGGAATTCTCTGCCTTTTTAAGTGCATAACAAAGATCCTTCCATTGAGGTTGCAAGGTAGTACTGGCTATACTTTGAAAGGGATTTCACCTCAGTGTCACACCACCTCATTAAAATCTGTGCTGGTGGCCACTTGTGTTCTTGGTTTTACCTGAGCTTTCCAGTATTGTTCACTTACATGCTTTGACTTCTGGTTTTCCACTGGAGTCATGAGAAAAAGGTGTCTGTGCCAAGCCTGTCTGAGCTCCGTGGGAATAGTATGGAAAAAACATTCTCCTGTTCGATCAAACCCTAATCTTCATGACACCCGAAGCAGCAGAATACAGCGGAGGTGCTCAAAGCGCTTAGGTTGCCATATGGATTTCTGCCTAATGGTGAAATTCCAATTCCTTGAAGTAATTTGGACCTTGTTTTAAAATTCAGGAAGGCACCTGTTGATAAGTTCTCAGCAGTATCCTGTTTACTGTCGTGCTAGGGGAGAGGAATTTCCTCCCCCACCACTTCAACTTTGTCTGTGATTGCTACCCTGCCTGTCTCTCTGCCTTCTGTCAGCTTTTCCATGGATTCATTTGCTTTCCCCACTTTGTGACATAGGCTTTCCTTCTCCTCCTGCTCCAATGTGGCCTAGTGGTTAGACTAGAACAGGCGTGCCAACTCCTAGGGGCCAAAGCAGTTTCGGAGTTTCAGAGGGCGTTCGGCTCTGCCCTCTGGCTCCTTGTGACATCGGGATATAGTGTTGGGCCCCCTCAATTTTCTTGAGACGATGGCACCTCTGGACTGACTAGAATCTGGGAGACCACAGTTCACATCAATCAGGATGTTCACTAGGTAATCTTGAGGCAGTCACAGCCTGTCAAGGAACTGCCATCGGCTCAGGGGTGAGAGGGGGAAAGCCGGATGGATTACAGAGAGCCCCCAAAGATCGTGAGAAGCAGCACCTCCTCAGCGGAGGAGAGTATCCACGCCTCCAGTGGAGAGGAGCTTCAGGGCTCGGAGGAGGCGAGGCGGTGCCAGGACACCTTGCCTGGGCAAAGCGGGGAGGAGAGAGGTCCTCCGTTACCCATGCCCTCCCTGCGCAGTAGGCTTCCGCGCCGAGAGGGGAGGCGCAGATTGGCGTCAAGAAACTACTCTGTTGGGGAAGGTTTAAGGACTGCCCACTCACAGATTCTGCCAGTGAATGAGCCAGCCACGGGAGAGTGGCGCTCTGCACAGAGAAAGTTTATTTTGGCATCAAAAGCAAGGCTTCACAACTGAGCGGGGAGGCATTTGCCTACTTGCTCTCAAGCAACCCCTTGGTAACCTAACATAGCTTTTTAAGCTAACTTACTTTACAGGGTTTCGAATCCCCGTGGTGGGGTGCGCTCCCGTTGCTCGGTCCCAGCGCCTGCCAACCTAGCAGTTCGAAAGCACCCCCGGGTGCAAGTAGATAAATAGGGACCGCTTACTGGCGGGAAGGTAAACGGCGTTCCGTGTGCGGCTCTGGCTCGCCAGATGCAGCTTTGTCACGCTGGCCACATGACCCGGAAGTGTCTGCGGACAGCGCTGGCCCTCGGCCTCTTGAGTGAGATGGGCGCACAACCCTAGAGTCTGTCAAGACTGGCCCGTACGGGCAGGGGTACCTTTACCTTTACCTTTACTTTACAGGGTTATTATGGGGATAAAATGAGAGGAGGGGAGAACCATAAAATGCCACCCTGAACCCTCGGGAGGAAAGGTGGTGTAAAATTGTAAATAACAATTAATAAATAAGATACAGGGTTTCATTCACCCTTGGTGGTTTGCATCATTTTTGTTTTTTGTAAATATGCAGATAAAACTGATAAGGGTCCCCTTCCCCATCTTGTATGTTTTACTGGGAATCAGAGAGGAGGGATGGTGAAGAGAATAATGGGGGGAAGTATGCAGATGACAGGGAAAGGCAGGGGTTCTTCCACAAAATCACCCTCCCATGTTATTAAAAAAAAAGAAGAAGCTTCCGAACTCAGGTGAATGACTAGCACTAGTCAATTTGCATGTAAAAGTTTCCAAACTCCCACTAGGCTAACATGTATTTGTTTTGCAGCATAAAGGAAGCCCCACTTTTTTTTGTAAACTGCTTTGAGGTTTGTTTGTTTTTACACTCAGCAGTATATAAAATAATAATAATAGCCAGTGTGGTATAGTGGTTTAGAGCGGTAGACTCGTAATCTGGTGAACCGGGTTCGCGTCTCCGCTCCTCCACATGCAGCTGCTGGGTGATCTTGGGCCAGTCACACTTCTCTGAAGTCTCTCAGCCCCACTCACCTCACAGAGTGTTTGTTGTGGGGGAGGAAGGGAAAGGAGAATGTTAGCTGCTTTGAGATTCCTTCAGGTAGTGATAAAGCGGGATATCAAATCCAAACTCTTCTTCTAATAATAATAATAATACAATAATAAATGCTCACTCTTTTCTTTGAACTAAGATCTAACAAGGCTGTTATTCGTAGTTAGGTAAAGGTAAAGGGACCCCTGACTGTTAGGTCCAGTCGTGACCAACTCTGGGGTTGCGGTGCTCATCTCGCTCTATGGGCCGAGGGAGCCGGTGTTTGTCCGCAGACAGCCTCCGGGTCATGTGGCCAGCATGACTAAGCTGCTTCTGGCGAACCAGAGCAGCACACGGAAACACCGTTTACCTTCCTGCTGGAGCGGTTCCTATTTATCTACTTGCACTTTGACGTGCTTTCGAACTGCTAGGTTGGCAGGAGCTGGGACCGAGCAACGGGAGCTCACCCCGTCACAGGGATTCGAATCACCGACCTTCTGATCGGCAAGTCCTAGGCTCTGTGGTTTAACCCACAGCGCCACCTGCATAGTTACTTTCACTTAATTAAATTCCAGGCTGCCTTAACAAAACAAAGCAGAAAACAAATTACATCCTATCTAAACAAAGTCTATATTAGTCAAAAGGAGGATAGGGTAACAGAGACAGAAAGCTTATTTCTGGTCCAAGTTGGAAGAGAATAATCCTTAGACGGAGCAGACTGAATCTCGTATATATTCTGACATGCGCTAATACTACAGATATAGGTCTATAAAAGCAATCCTTCCATTCATTTCTTATGAGAAGAGCTGCTGTAGTAAATAATTGTACTAGTTTCTACAAAAAGATAACTGAATGGCATTCATACATAAACTTTTGTTTAATACTAGGGACCAAGGGGACAACAAGGTGATGCTGGTCCTGTAGGAGAACCAGGCTTTGAAGTGAGTATTGCGCAGGCACGCCTTGTTTTATTGCACTTCGAGTTATTGCGCTCTGCAGATATTGCTCCTTACAAAGACATGGGTGTGGCTGGCTGCAAGCAGCCCAGTCACTCGCTGCCCCTCTTCTGGCCCTGGGAGGGGAGCTGCCTAGCGTTATCGTACACTTCATAATGTGTGCATTCTGTATATGTGTTTACAAATAAAGAAAAAAGGCTGGGTCGAATTTGCCCCAACGGTCTAAGGACAAAGTCCTAGATGTCTGGTGTGAGTTTATTGGGGGGAAAGGGAGGGGATGCATACAATTTTAGGATAGCCACCTTCAGCAAAACTGAGCGTTCCAAGGTGACAGGTGTGTGAATTAGGATGATGCCGATTAAGTGTGCCCATTGGCTATCACACAGGGAAATAGTTTTTCTTGGAAAGAGGTTGGAAGTGTGTTATCAGATGTTCAGCTATGCAGCCCAAGCAGGATGCAACACATAGGGAAGGATGTTGGGATGGGAACAGGACACATGTCTGGAAGGAAAGCAGGTGCAAGGGGTCACCAGTGGCCATTGTTGACCTGGACAAGGTAAGAAGCACCAAGACTTGTAGAAGAGATGGCATTCAAGAACCTTAGAAAGGTTTTTATGGGACATTGTAGAAGCCCCCTGTTAATGCACAAACCTGTTGGGAGAAGTGTACCTCAAATTTTAATCTCTGCCCCTCTAGTTGTATGATCCTCTTTGTGTGCTCCATCTTGCTTTTATGATGGGAAGCATTTAGTGGTGGACAGTGAATAAGCTTGCTTATGTTTTCAATTCAGGGACCACCTGGCCCAGAGGGGGACCCAGGGCCACAAGGAGAACCAGGCACAAAGGTAATTGTTGGCATGCTGTTTCAGGGAGATCTTCTGGGATATGGGAGAAAGAGGTGGGGAGTTGCCTCTCAGGCCACATTTGATTAGATCTCAGGCACACCTGAGTATGGCATGTTATTGCTGAGCTGAATGGCTGTTGTTAAAAATAAAATGGGCCTGTGTGCTAGGTATGCATGCCAGGAGCCCAAATCCCTGTGATTCGAAGAAAGGCTGCCAATTTCTCTATTGATATAATTGATTGAGTGAGTTATAAATAAGACAAACAAATAGAGATGCTTGCAAAATTCTAAAGTACTTGTTGCAAATCTACCTGCTTGTCTCGCTGCAAAATAATTTTTGTTTCTTTATCACCTTTTCTCAGTAAGAGCTCAGGGCAATGTAAATCATACATACGAACAAAATGCAATAAACCAGCACTAAACACACACACACAGCATTTGTAATAAAAGGTAAAGGTACCCCTGCCCATACGGGCCAGTCTTGACAGACTCTAGGGTTGTGCGCCCATCTCACTCTATAGGCCGGGGGCCAGCGCTGTCCGAAGACACTTCCGGGTCACGTGGCCAGCGTGACAAGCTGCATCTGGCGAGCCAGCGCAGCACACGGAATGCCGTTTACCTTCCCGCTAGTAAGCGGTCCCTATTTATCTACTTGCACCCAGGGGTGCTTTCGAACTGCTAGGTTGGCAGGCGCTGGGACCGAGCAGCGGGAGCGCACCCCGCCGCGGGGATTCGAACCGCCAACCTTTCGATCGACAAGCCCTAGGCGTTGAGCGCCACCCGCGTCCCATAGCATTTGTAATAGTTTAATTTAAAAAGAAATATGTACATTATTGATGTACCCCTTATTAATTTGTGAAAACCTGGGCAAATTTAAAACGTTTCGAATTGATGTCTGAAGCCCAGCAATGTGGGAAACAGATGCACTTCTAAGTAAGGGTGAAGGATAAAATTGATTTGTTACCATTTTAATAAAATGCTGCCTGATTTTCACTTCTTGAACCAACAAACTGAAACACTTCAAAGTTCAGTTCTCCAGTTTTTGCAATTTAGTTCTCCAACCAAACAATATACGTTTACTGTTTGCATGCAAAACAAAATGTTGTTGTTGCTTGAGTTTATTTTGTTACAAGACTTCTGCCATGTTAGATAAAATCTTTTGTTCTGTTGCTCCTGTTATGTAGTCCATCGGCTTCATGTATTTGTGTTTTATGTCACAGGGAGATGCTGGACCTGTTGGCAATGCTGGAGAATCAGGAGAACAAGGTTTAAGAGTAAGTGGCAAATATGAAACATATTTTGGAACTAAAGAGAGTCCTGAATTTTAGAAATGCAAAGCGGTATGCAAATTATGAAACCAGAGAAGGGATGAAGGAGACTCTTGGATTCCTATGCCTGGAAAATTCTCAGCATCATCATAAGCAGAGGCTTAAATATGACTAGTGTAGATATCTTATTTTTGAAAAAGACAATAAACATGTTAATAGGACTACAGTAGGTATAAGAAGGCTTTAGGTCAGCCTTATCTAAACTTCTCTTAACCGAGACATGTTTCTTTCTGGAATGAAAAATGGAAACACCATTCTTACGTCTGAATAGGATTACTCTTTAGAGCATTCTTGAGTAAGATTTACCTCCTTCCCCCATCAGTTTCTACATCAGTGATCTGGGTGTGCCTCTTTATTGGAAGAAGGTAAGCCCTTAGCAATGGATGGCAAGATCCAGTCACACCTGGTGATATAAGAATAACTTGTTCCCAGTAGAGATGCATTGGAAGCAAGGAAGGCTAGAGCAGTAAATCCTGCAGAGAAACAGGTTCACAAGAAACCTTAATTAATCGTATTTCTTTTTCCTTGTAGCATACTTATGCCATTGCGGCCTTGAACACAGTTTTGGGAATAACTGCAATAGGCATTGTAATTAATATCAGAGTTTGTTTTATTTTCAGTCTTGGCTAATGTGAGTCAAAGAGCACGGTTGGGCCTTGTTCCTCATTGAAAAAAAATATTAATATTGGTCCAAGGAACCTGAACACAATGGTTCACTTGTCAAACTTAGTGTTACGTGAATTAGATTTGCATGTTCGTTTCCTCCCCTCCCTCCTATCCTTGTGTACTGTAATTCCATTCACACCTGCCTGTTTAGGGCAAACCATAGTTCATAATTACAGCAAACTATTGTTTGTGCTTGCCTCCAAACCAGAATTGGAAATCACAGTCAAAATATTGGCTTTCACTTATGGTTTGGAGGTCAAGTGCAAAACATAGTTTGATGATTTGTATGCAATGGAAACTGTGGATTAGATAAAGTTGGATTGTGTAAGAGGAAGAGACATAAATCTAAGGCAACAGTGGCTAACCTTTTTCTGTATAAGGACCCCTTTGGTTAACCCTTCAAGGGCTGCATGTAAAAATGAGTGTGGCCAAAGTATCAAAGTTCACATTTGGATGGGTTTTGATGGGGTTACAAAGACATTTTGTCATTAAAAATAGCTTTTAAAATAATGTAAATATTTTGTGGGGCACAAAAACTTTTTGGAATCATGACATCACAGCAAGAGAACCATAGATAGAGTATAAAAAGGACAAAGAGGAGGGTAACCTAATGGCCAGATGTGGTGGCGATCGCTGCCTTGTGGTGTGGCGTGGTATGTTTATTATAGCTCATTTTCAACTATGTAGGCATTTGACAGTTTTGCTGCATTCTAGACTTCTATAATTCTGATTTCTCTTCAATATGAAGGCAACAAAAATACATTGTCATCAGTGGAGACACTGAAATAATGTTATTCAATCCAAGCAAAAACAATGAACTCATCTTCAGACTAGAAAAAGACATTTCTGGTAGAAGACATGATAGAATAAATGACTATTTTACTTTTAAAAGACAACTGAAGGCGGCTGTGTTTAGGGAAGTTTTTAATGTCTGACGCTATATTGTTTTTAATATTCGGTTGGAAGCTGCCTAGAGTGGCTGAGGAAACCCAGCCAGATGGGCGGGGTATAAACAATAAATTATTATTATTACTACTACTACTACTACTACTACTATTATTATTGAAACCCAACTACAATCTTAGAATGATAATGAAAGAATTGCTTTGCTGATTAATGGGCCCGATTTTATATATATCTTAACAATCTCAGGTTGCACCAGGGCATTCTGTGAAAAAGAGGCAAATACCAATCGCGCTTTCGAAAATACGAAAGCCAGCAGTCTGTTGTCATCAACCTAAAACCATTTCTTCCAGAATGTTAAGTTGTTTTGAATAAGTGAAAGGAATATGCTGCTTGCCAATAAACACATTAGCCCTTTCGGTTCAGACGTATTTCAAATTATGATGTAAGCCCATAGAAATTTCCCATTTTGCGGAGGGTGCTAAGCCTTGCTTTAAAAGTTCAGACCCCTGTAACCCCCTCCTTCCCTCCTGCTCACTTCCTCCAGCTACACACATCTCAGGTATAGGGAGCTGAAATCCCTATTGAACTGTCATTCACAACTCACTCTGCCAAGATATGCTCAGGACGTTTGTCCCTGTTTATCCCCTCTCCTTTTCAGGCAGGTCTTGTTGTTGTGGGAAGACAAGACAAGACAGTGGCAACCCCCCTCAATATGCTGTTTGTCCCAACCCCTCACATGGTGTTCCTACTACTGTTGTTCCCCGGGGTAACGTACCTCGATTTTAGGTATTTGTACACCACAGTTTTTGGAAGTAACAACATTTGGATTTATTTCTTCTGAAAAATAGGGTGTACCAGGACCACCGGGGGAAGATGGTGTCCAAGGGAAAGATGGACCAAAGGTACGTTTTAACAACTGAACAGTCCCAACTTTGTCTTTGTACCGTGTTTCTTTAAACAAAATATATAACAAAATACAGCATTGCCGCATTTGTGTGCATCCTCATTAAGAAATCACAGAGACAAAAGGCACAGAGAATTTGCATCTTCGCACAATGCCTGCCCAAAAGAGCTGTATTTACTGTGTTGTGGAATGTATTTCAAGCTGGTTTCTTGTGATTGGTAAAGCAGGCTTCATGCAGACATTGCAACAAAACGGAAGGATTAAGATGCTGATTTACAGGGGTAGGAAAGTTGGGGGAAAAAATTCACATCTGGGAACTGATTCGACCCTTTGGTTTCAGATAGTACATGGGTAGACAAGTCTAAAAAGCCTGGGGCAGAAATTTTCATGGCCCTCTAGCAGCTATGGTGGCTCATGTAGCAGAAGCAGTGTAGTTAGCGTTAGCTCTGGAGGTGTATACTCGATTCTGACCAAACTAAGCCTCCTATGTATATTTTGCTTTAGGGGGCTTAGTTTGGTCAGAATCATGTATACATTTCCAAGGCGGTTGAACTTGATAAACAGATTCCATCTCCTCTTGACCTTTGCTTATGCATGTGGCTGTTTTAGGGCAGTGTAGGAGACCGAGGGCTTCCTGGAGAAGATGGTGAAAAAGGAGAGACCGGAATCCCAGGAATCCCAGGCCCTTCAGGTGCACCCGGCATAAGGGGTATTCCAGTAAGTAATCTCGGAATTATAGTGCAAATAACAGCAATGTGACCTATTCACTCCAAGGGAACTTGACAGATAAGCATGCTATATTACTGGTCTCTTGTGCAAGTGGTATATTAGGCGAATAAAGAGTTAAATACAAAATCCATGAAACAGGTTGGGGGGGGGAGTTATATATTGTTTATCGCCTTTGATGCCACTAGGTGCCTCCCATGACACTTGTATGCAAACATCCCCAATGGGGGGAGGGGATTGCATTTTCCCAGAAACAAAATGTTGTGGTTTGAGTGCTAGAAAATATGATTTCCTACACATCAGAAACACTGCCTTAGGGGGAAATGTTGGGGTCCACTCCAATGTCTACCCCATCAGAACTACACATTTAGTGTACAGAAATTGTCGCTATATGCCTTGGAAGCTATGGCCAAAGTTGCAACAGCTGAGTGGCTCATATTGGGGCGGGGGGGGGGGGGAGAGAGAGTTGTTGATTCCAGTCCAACTCAATTTGGATAGGTTTCTGTCTCACAGCTAGCACTAATTATCACTTCTGCTGGCAAGCACAGTAATGGGACCACCACTGTGGATGGTTGTGGAGAATTAACCGTGTCTCAGATTGACTTCACGTAATAAGCAGTGGCACTTATCCTCCCAGTTTTCGTTTCTACACATCTGTGCTCCCGCTTCAGACATTACACAGAAGCATGAAAACAGAAAGCTCGTGTTCACTTCTGCTTCCTGTTTCCATTGCTTGTTGAATGCTTGTTCAAAGCCCCACCTAGTCCTATGGGAAGATTCTGGTCTCAAAACAGACTTTCATCCCAATGGTTTAATCCAGCAGAACATTACTCATTGCACAGAGTTGTTTGTCTTAGAATGAAATGAAGTGTGGAAATCCTGCTCAGAATCAGAGCTTTCCACATGTTGACATCTTTAAAAATATATATGCTTCAGAGATGTAGGTCTTTAAGAGACAACGCATAAAATCAGAAGATTTGGGACTGCAATTCTATATATATTTACTTGGGATTAAGTCTCACTTAATTAAGTCATGTTCACTTCTGAGTAAGACGTGTAGCTTACATTATAAGCGTCTCTTCCTTGCGGTATGATTATTGTTTTGCTGTAAAATGTTCTGGTGCTATTTCTCCCTGATTTAACTCTTCCTTTTATTATGTAGCATGTATCTTCAAGGTTTGTTAAAAACAAATGTTTGATGTTGGTGTCAGCCCCGCTATTCATTCTTTGCATATATCTAGGTAAAATGTAGTAAATCATATCTACTTCCTTCACATTATTATTATTCACACATTATCACATAGTAACTTCATACTTGAATAGTAGGTTTATAGACCCTGCTGATAGCTACCCTGCACATTACCAGAATTTTCTGGTTCATATGGCAACCCTATCCTGGTTACTCAGAGTTTCATTTTAAGTAGATCCTAACAGATATTGATGTCAGTATTTTTCATTGGACCATGGGATAGATTTAGCATGTCACATGACATTTCACTGTATATTTTTATATAATAAGAAGGCACAATGTATTCCAAAGATGCTCCATGCAGCCCCTATTCTGTCTCAAATATTGCAGGACATTTCAATAACATGATATAATCAGAACTCTTGTTTGCTACTATCCATTTAAGATGCAATTTATAATATAGATTCCCCCTAAGCACTGGAACATATGCACGGGCCATTTTGTCTAGGGACCAAACTAAATGAGATTGTTGCTGTTGTTAAATTTCTGTTCTGTCCTTCCTCCTGAAGGAAACCTGGCTGATAAAAACGAGGTGCATGCTGTTCATTCAGCTAGCAATTATTGCATGAGCGGCTTTTGAAAAGTAAATAGTGGGCACAGGGAGGGAGCAGCAATCTTAATTGGCACTCTGGCATGGTCTGTGAGGTCACAGATGTTATTCAGGAGCTGCTAATTGCATGATTGGCATCTCGTCTAGCTTGGCCTTCAATGCTGCTGATCTTTCAAGATAACCACAGGGTTTGGAACAAACCAGAAATGCTTTTGCTTTGCATAATGCATTAGCTAGAAAAGCCAAGAATGAGACAAACAAAATCTGGTCAACTGCAACACGTTGTCCTCTAGTTATTTTTCTTAGTCACCAAGCATATACAAAGTGTTATCAGTTAATGAGTCTAATCCGGAAGTCAGCTGTTGATGAAAATGCCTGCTGAAATCTTCATACTTTGGATGTGTTGTTTGTTTTTTTGTAGTGTGGCAATCAACAGCTTTCCTCCATTCCTAAATTACTGTTTCTTGTAGCCATAAAAACATTGATGATGGGGCTGGGAAATTAAACAGAGTGATGAAACATCCACTTAATGTATGCGAAGAAAATCAATGAGACAAAACAATAACAAAATTGTTAGAAACACAGGAAAGAAAACTGTCTTCTACTGAGTCAGACACAATGGTCTTTCTTGCTCAATAATATCAACACTGTGTAGCAGTGACTTCCTTGGATTTTAGAAGCAAAGCAGCTACTCTACTGCTGAGCTATGGCTCCTCCACCAAGTCCTGCTGTGCAGTTGAGAACAGGTACACAATACTGTTCACGCCTAGGCCAGGAACTGTGGCTTCCAGTTTAAAGGTGTAGTTTGTCAGTGATAACTGAGCTATAATTTCCAGGATGAGAGAACAATCTTGCTAGAACTGTTTTAGGGCTGTCATGCGTCTAGCATTTCCTGGGCATATCTGAGATTTTTTAGGCAAATTTCCTAAGAGAACTTCATTTTTTTCCGGAGATTTTGCAAAAAAAGCTGAACAACTTGCTCCCCCCTCCAAAAATACCTCAACAACTTCTTGAAATATGGCAACCCTAATTTCCTCCTACATTTAATATAGGTGCATATTGGTGCCATGGAAGGTGTTTGAAAGCGCTGGGTAGGACAAAGAGAAGGAGAGTTTTCAGGACCAGAGGGCAAAGTTCTCTTTCCATTGTGCCAAGTGGTAGTTGGGCCTTCTATCCCTGACTGCCACATAAAAGGGGAGCACTAACTTGCTCAATGAGAGGACACTTGTTGACCTCTGTGCTCTTCCAAAACACTGGGAATATGGGGACGGTGGCTACATAATAAATTTAGTATTAGTGGACTACATATTGCTTCAGTTGTGGTGGTTCCTGAGCCTTTGATTTGCACCATGCCAATGCAAATCCAGAATATCTTGTTGTTTCCCAAAAGCTTTCCCAATCAAGTACATGTAGGGATGATTGAACATGTCCTGTATTGCTTAAGAGGAAAACTTGAAGCGTGGACATGTGTCTGCCCCAGTGGGCTTGATCCCTAGCTTAGTGAGTAACTGACTACTATCTCCCTTGTCGAAGCCTAGTCGGGAACCGTAGTAATGCAAATACATCTACTTTCACTGGAGATACTTCTCTGGCCTGAATCTGACATTCTTTAGTCCTTCCCTGACTGAATATAGATCCCTACTAAATGAAGTGTTTGGCTTGAGCACAAAATTTATTTTAGTCTCCAGCTGTTGTTTTCTGTTCAGACATGTTAGATTTTTGTGGCATTTTCACTGGCTTGATAAAAATCACCAGCATTATATCACTCTTCTCCAAAACAGAACAGTCATACTAATGTTTAATAAGAGTTTCCCATAACCCTCATGCTGAATGTTATAAGACCTTGCTAAGATTATGCAGTTCACACCAAAGTTTAAACATGTTCTCAAAGCTCTCTTCCTTCATAACAAATATTTCAGGGGCCCGAAGGAGCTCCAGGAACTCTAGGTCAAAGGGGCCGCCCAGGAAAAAAGGTAATTCATCTTGGTTCTTCTGTCATGTATTTTTATTAATTGAGGGCCTAGCATTTATTTATTAATAATGGACAGGTCGTAAACAAACGGTTTTGAAACAGAATGTTAACAGGATGTTGGGACTCTTGTCTGGCTCTCCAGTGCAGTTTGCATTTGGAATAACATCTTGTATTGTCTTATCTTTGACTCTTAACCTCCCCAAAAGGGGGCAAAGGGACAGCATGGCCCCCCAGGAGAGATTGGTGCCACAGGTGACCGCGGGCAGCCTGGAGAAATTGGTCCAAAGGGTTCAAGAGGAACTAGAGGCCCAATGGTTGGTATACAGTTGTTCTCCCTATTACCTTCATGACAACCCTGTAAAATAGGTTACACACACACACACACACACACACACACAAGAGAGAGAGAGAGAGAGAGAGAGAGAGAGAGAGAATGTTATTGGCTGAAGGACCCCCAGTCGGTTTAATGGCTGAGTGGGAATTTGAACCTTGATCTTCCTGCTCCACGATGCCACAGTGACTCTCTGTTCATTTGTTTATCTAAACTCTTATAGAACTTGTTTGCCTATATTTTTAGTTCACTAGGGTATAGGTTTTGGGTGGGTTGTTTTTTTTTAATGCACGTGCCTTTTTTAAACAACAACAACAACATTGTGCTGTACCTATTTGCAGAGATATATTCTGAAATGGTGCATTCAAAGAAGCAATTTGCATCTACTTTCACCAATTACTTATACCTATATTATATGTGTTTTCATTATTATTTTTTATTTTATAAACATATTTTTATTAAAGATTTCGTCATTTACAAAAATACATGCATTGTCTCTTTTTCAAGTTGTGTTTTCTACAGATCAGTTTCATTTGTTGTGAGACATTAGTGTTGCTCACAGCATTATTTTTATGTAAAATATCTGTTTCTGGTTCAAATATGCTGAAGGTAGACTTTTTAATCTAAGCTGCGTTTACTCTGGTTCCCTTCTAGGCTGTTTTAAAAAAAAGTCGTTAGGAGAATCTGCATGCTTATACCTTTTTAGGTGCTTTTCAGGAGAGAACACCATCAAACCTCGTGCTTGCATTTTTAAAATCATATGATTTATTAACTTTTTAAATGTATATCCTACACCTTCAAACACATGGGTTCCCGGGGCGAGGTTATATAAATATTACTACATTAAAAGAAAAAAAAATCCTTTGGCATGAGCCAGCCACTAGGAACATATGTGATGTTGACAGTATGTGTTTGACTCTCACAATTTGAAATCAACGGGATTTATATCTGCTTAACTTGGGTGAGGGTTATGCCCTTTGTGTTTTTCTGATCAGAAGGTCGATTGAGAGCTTAACTAATTAGAAATTGAAATGTGTTTATTGCTGTTTATACATACAGGGACATTTAGGGTCAATGGGATCTGCAGGAGAGCCAGGAATTCCAGGTTACGGGGTAGGATGCACTTCCCTGAATGTCTGTCTATACTTTCTGTTGAGTTTGTTGACTGTGTACCGTCTTTGTACATTGCGCTACATTTGTTATGGCCCATTGACTTGTGCAAAAAAAATTATACACCCTCCCCAATTTGTGTGCTTTGCTGTCTCCCGCTTGTGGGGGCCACTTGCCCACCCATTCATTAGTCAGAAAGGGGAGGTTGGTTACCATTGGCAGGAGGCCAGCTTAGCCAAGAGAGCTGGACAGAGCTACACCGCCACATAAGTCACACACGCAGCCTGGTATCAAGGCATGTGTGTGGATTGCTCTGCCCGTTTGTCCCTTGTCTGCTTCAAGATGGCCATTCTGAACGAAGCCTATTGAAAGCTGCCATTCTTCCCACAGCTATACTTAACTCCCTCTTTTTTAAAAAATAAGTTATGCAGTTTGAATTAACCATCGAATTTTCATTTTTCAAGAAAATTATATTTTAAAAAATCAAACTGATACACACACATTAGATAGCTCTGTTTTATTTATTGTTGGGAAACTTTCATTTTTCAAGAAAATTATCAAAAAGGTAAACTGGCAAACACATGTTAGATTTTATTTATAGTACTTATTGGGATTTTTTATTTTTTTTACACACACACACACACACACACACACATATATATATATATATATATTACCTTTCTTCTGTCACGGATCAAAAGGCATCCTCCATCAATCCCAACAAGACCAGAAAACACATGTGGTAACTCAAACTGAATCTGGGCCTGTTGAAAACTGGCGGTTTCTGTTCCTAAATGTTGTGGTCTATTGTCTTCAATTGTCCAACTATCCTGTTTGCCCGGCATGTCACCTTTGACAGCATATTGACTACATAACAATGCAAACAGATTGCACGCATGGCATGGCGTTTATGTTTAATTGTTTCTTTTCCTAGGGTCACCAGGGTCAGCCAGGCGCTCCTGGCCCACCAGGAGCCAAAGGAGAGAAGGTATGAAGAGTGGTAGCAAATACTGTAGTTGACAGAGGTGGTTGCTATTGGCTAGAAGTCTCGGAGGCTCACAAAATAAGCATATATTTTACACAAACCCCTCTATCCACTTAGAATTGTAGAGTTGGAAAGCACCTTGAGAGTCGTTTTGTCCAACCTTCTGCAATGCAGAAATCTTTTGCCCAATGTGGAGCTCGAACCCACAGCCCTGAGATTAAGAGTCTCATGCTCTACCGACTGAGCTATCCCTGATTTTTACAGATTCTTATTTTAAAGCTCTGAGGGAACAATATTGTGTGAGGAGAAACCTCTGAATATTATTAATGAAATGACTTGGGTTGGGTTGCACACATTTATGCCAAAGCATAAATCCTCAGGTTCATTTTACAGCATAGATGCACTGATGCTCAGCCATTCTGCATGACTGATGACATTGTGCTGGGAGCAGGGCATGTGCTGATTTTTCTAATCCGTGTTGTCCCTGATGTAGCATATGCTGTGTGAGCTTTGATTCTTCCTGTCACATCATACTGTTAAAAGAAAAACTGCTCCCTTTCCCTTATGGGGTACAGTGGTACCTCAGGTTACATACGCTTCAGGTTACAGACTCCGCTAACCCAGAAATAGTGCTTCAGGTTAAGAACGTTGCTTCAGGATAAGAACAGAAATTGGGCGGTGGCAGCACATCAGCAGCGGGAGGCCCCGTTAGCTAAAGTGGTGCTTCAGGTTAAGAACAGTATCAGGTTAAGAACGGACCTCCGGAACGAATGAAGTACTTAACTTGAGGTACCACTGTATTCCGGAGCCCATACAGAGTCCTTAAGTGGGTTCCCTATCAGAAGGAGAAAATAATAGAGGCCAACCAGAGAATATTGAGAAGCAAAGCGGCTAGTAAGCCTGATCTTTAGTAAAGGAAATGTTGCAACAGGGTCCCTGCTCACCACGTGCAGGAGCGAGGAGAATGCTGAACAATGGTGTGCAAGCCCTTACATAGACTTTTGAAATTGTCTACCCTGTAGCTCAAGGCCACCCCTCAAACCACCATACATACATCACAGAAGGAGGTGGTCTACAGCAGAAATCCTGTCTGCCAGGATAGCAGATAATAGTCACTGATTGCATTACCTGGGCAGTCTGGCCATTCTTTTGTGATGGATAATACTTTAGTTCCTGAATCCAGGTCACAGGCTCACCCTATTCATACACAGATATGCCCTTAAGACAGGATTTGCAAGCAAAAAGGCAATGGGAAGGCTTTCCCCATTTGCCTCCCTTAATGCAGAGGAATATTTGAGGTCATTGGGATAGTTAAAATGGCTTCAGGATTGCTCTCCCATACTATTTCAGACACATGATTCATATATTTAGATATGTGTGCATTTATGAATATTCTGTATTTGAGACCTTAAAATTCTTATAACAATATCTTTGGCTCCCACCAGTGCAGACGCTTCTTAAGAGTTCATCATATAAGATTCTATGCTTCTTGTACTTGTTAGGCACTTCCACTGTTCTAATTTGTCCTTAGGGTACATGAGTATCTCTTTGTTCAGTGTGAAAGAGGGCAGGGCTTTACACAAAATAGGGGATTTCTCCCATGGTTTGTAGCAACTGCAGCTTGTCTTCTCCTTCTTTGTCCCCTGGCAGAAAAAGGGGAAGCAGGCGCGGTAACAGTCAGAGGTTGCTTGCAGGCATGTGATTTCCAGTACGCACAACACACACAGCTCTCCAGTATTCAACAGCTTTTCCATTAATTTTGGTGGATACTGATGACATTTGCAAATAAAGTGTAACATACATCTTTCAATACATGGGCGGCTTATTGGGTCCAAAGTGATGTACTTTCAGACATGTCTCTCTACACAGCAGTTGGTGGGAAAGTCTTAATTCTGAAATTCTCCCAGGTGTTCCATTTGTGCATTGGAGAGCACGTGGAACTGTGGCTCAAATAGATGATTTTCTGCATGCAAATCGACTTCTTTTTTTCTTTTTTTGGTACATTCACAGGATAGCAACCAACTGATGCTGAAAATATCTAATTTCACCTGTTTGTGTTTGGTGATTGTGCCCTTACAAAATATGCTTAAACTTTTAATTTTAATAAATTATTGTGCTATGCAATGTCGCTTGCGTAATGGCAACTGATTTTATTATTAAATTGTGCTTCAGATATTAGCTGTTTTACTTTGCTGTGCCTGATATAATTAGATTGCATTTCTGTTTGAAACGGTAGTAATTTGTACATTTCGGTTTATATCTGTTTATGGAAAGAAAAAGAATGGAAAAGCAATTTATGCAATACTAACGAATGGACACACAATCTAATACTCATCTACCTGGGAGTGGTACTTATTTCTGGGGAGCTATCTGTTTGGAAACTGAACTTACTACTGGTCAGCCAATAGATTTGCTGTGAAGCAGCAAGTACACTTGTACCTTAGATCTCAAACGCCTTGGTTCCTGAACAAATCACGTTCGAAACCCGGAAGTGAGTGTTCCAGTTTTTGAACGCTTTTTGGAAGCTGAACGTCCAATTCGGCTTCTGTGGCTTCTGATTGGCTGCTGGAGCTTCCTGCAGCCAATCAGAAGCAGCGCTTTGGTTTCCGAACATTTTAGAAGTCGAACAGACTTCCGGAACGGATTCCGTCCGACTTCCAAGGTACGACTGTATATCGTTCTTCAGAATAGTTATAAAATTTGTTTGCTGAGGGGATGCTACAGGTATAACTATCACAAACTACTAAGTCTTTTACATAAATGGCTCAGTACCTCTTTGCGTACGTATGGCCTGCATAGGGAATATATTTCAATTTTTCATGCATAGTTTACTAACAATACCCTGAGGCTTCATAGCCAATAAACCATCGATATGTCTCTATTACAGGGTTACCCGGGGGAAGACAGCACAGTGCTGGGACCACCTGGGCCCATAGGTGAACCAGTAGGTCTTTCTTTATCCAGAAAACTATATACGTGATTCAGAATTGAAAGTCTTCCCAAAAATTATACAGTTGCCTCCAGAGACTGCACTCATGTTGTGCAAAGATGTGTGGAATTGGTGTAGTTGCTTTGAAATACGTTATGTTTAGATTTGTACAGGTTCTAGCTTTTTCATTGCTACCAGCAATTGCATGTATGTTTTTTTGGAAAGCAGCAAACATAAGGGGGGGTATCAAGGGGCTAAACTAGAAGTGGCACTAAATGTGTAATTAGAAACTGTGTCAAGGTTTGTAAGACATTTAATAATAGGGGTGTGAGGGCAGGGGTAGGGGTTCACAGAGGCAGCAGGACACAGGGAGATGAGGTTTAATGTTTTCCTCCCGCAGTCACAGTTCTGATGAGAATTGGACCTATTTTCAAAGTCAAACAAACAAACCCAAAACCCTGTCATAGTTTTTAACACTTTTAGTATCTCATCTAGTTTGACCCAAAGTTAATGTTAAATGTAGCATTTTAGAGGGTTCGAACTGCTGTATAAATGCTAAGTCCGACAAAGATGTTTAGTGTTAGTAGCACCAGTAATTTAAAACATTGTTGCTATAGAAATCAGGCAGGTACCTACAATTCTATTTCATCACTTGCTCAAAACGATTTTGTTTTGCCTTTGTTTTTAGACAGTCTGGTTCCATGATGATAATCGGTTTTGCATTTTGTTATTTCCTAATTTTGTGGCGCGGGTGGCGCTGCGGGTAAAAGCCTCAGCGCCTAGGGCTTGCCGATCGAAAGGTTGGCGGTTCGAATCCCCGCGGCGGGGTGCGCTCCCGTCGTTCGGTCCCAGCGCCTGCCAACCTAGCAGTTCGAAAGCACCCCCGGGTGCAAGTAGATAAATAGGGACCGCTTACTAGCGGGAAGGTAAACGGCGTTTCCGTGTGCGGCTCTGGCTCGCCAGAGCAGCGATGTCACGCTGGCCACGTGACCCGGAAGTGTCTCCGGACAGCGCTGGCCCACGGCCTATAGAGTGAGATGGGCGCACAACCCTAGAGTCTGGCAAGACTAGCCCGTACGGGCAGGGGTACCTTTACCTTTAATTTTGTGGCATTTTGATAATTTATTGCACACAGAATGTTATTTTTTAAATGAGTTTGCAGTTTTAAAATATTCTTATCAATAACTAAAGTATGATTAGTGCTAATTTCTTGAAATTTTCTGCCATATGAGGAAGAGTAAACCTACATTTTCAGTTTGTTTGTTTTTGGTTTAACATATATGTGATTCAAAACCTCAACTAGCCATAGTACAAATAATTTTAGACGTCATTTATTGTATTGACTATGTTTGCTTTGCTTTGCTTTCCTTTTCCTTTCTTTCTATCTCTTCTCTCTTCTTTTGAATATAAGTTCCCTTTTCTTTTTTTATTCTAAAGCAGCCATATTTCAAAGAAATTTTAAACCATCTGGACTTCTTGTGGTTATTTCTCTAGGGCCCTATTGGTGAACGTGGAGAGAGAGGAGAGCCTGGTGATTTTGGTTACAAGGTAGAATTCTGCTTCCATTTGTATTTATATGGGGCGTACTCTGTAGTTTATTCTAAAAGAGCAATAGAAAAAAACACTCTTTCGTACATCTGAATGCATGTTAAGTACAATATCACTAACATTATACTAACTTACTGGGGAGTAAATTCCGTTAAACTCAATGAATCTTTGTTCTGTCTAGACAGGGCTGTAGCTAGGGGGTGGCGAGGTGGGCCCTCGCCAGGGGTGCAGGCGATTGGGGGGCGCAAAATCGGCTAAGAAATATGTCCATAAATATTGATTATTGCCTCATAATAAATGGTTTTAAATAGAGGGCGAATTGAATGGAGGGGTTGGAGGAGAGGCGGAAAGAAGAGCTAATTTGTCTGTGGCTAGGGGCGCAGTCTGGACAGTTCTGCCAGGGGTGCAAGATCACATAGCTATGGCTCTGTGTCTAGATATGAATAGAATTTCAGTGTAAGTGATACTGCAAAAGACAGGGCTAGAGTTGACTACTGCCAAAGAAATTATGGACAGGATCTTATACTAGAAGCTCATCAGAATTCAGGTTCCACTGTATCAGGGTCACCACTGGAAAACTGGGTAAAGATTTGGGAACTGGCTGGATGAATAGGGTTAAAACTTGTTGGGACATCTGTGTTGCTTCTAACTGCCTTGCCCTGATCCTGAACTGCTTTGTTTGCTCCTGACCCTATATTGCTACTTGTCTGAATAGAGATTCCTTTCTTACAGGTTAGAGCCTCTGCCTGCCTATGTGTTGGGCAGGAGCCAGGACAGATGAATAGGATCAAAGCCTAGGCCAAATGCTATCTGACAACAACGCCTCGGGATTGTGGGCAGTAGCATGGCTTTAAGACTTGGATACAGTGTAGGGGTAGTGCAGATACAGACCAGAAATAAGGATGCATAAAGGCATGTGAGCATTTTTCCACTGGCAAAAGCCAGATGGATGGACAGGTGGTTGTACAGAAGGCAAGGGCAAGATTTGCAGGCTATGAGCCAATAGGTGGAGCAAAGGATTAACAGATTAATGCAATATGTTGCAATAGATGCTTTAGGACAAAACAGGTTGAATGGAGTGTATCTGGGGTACCTAATTTGGGGTACCTAATGCTATGGGCAACAGCTCACATCATCCCCAGCCAGCATGGCCGGTGGTCAGGGATTATGGGAGTAGTAGTCCACAACACCTGGGGAGATGGAATATATCTTGGAGACCAAGTTCCAATAAGATGATTAATATACTGAAATATATTGAAACAAACATGTTGGAATACACCTTGGCTCCTCTCAGGCTTGTCCTCTCACCAGAAACTCATAGTATTAGTTGCCTAGCCAATAATAAGCTGCATTTCCTATTTCTAGGGTCACATGGGGCTTCCAGGACTTAGAGGTGCTGTTGGACAACAAGGGCCACCAGTAAGTCTCTTGTGAAGTAGGTTGACTTTGTGCTTTGATAAAGATAATAAAACGAATGGTACTTCTGTATTTGTTACCAGGTGGGAAATCCCTGCTCCTTTGCCTTGATGTCTCCTAGGCTTTATTCATATTACTTTTTTTTGCTTTTTCCAAAGGGTGAGCCAGGTGAACGTGGTGAACCAGGACTAAAAGGAGAGAAAGGATCTCAAGTAGGTAGAAAAGAGCAAGACACATTTTTTTGTCATATTTGAAATTAGAGCTCTGCAACACTAGACAGACCAGCAGTTTCATTTATAAGCTTGCTTGTTTTGTTAGCTTGTTTCTGTCTCCAGAACCCATTAACTCTAAAAGGAATATAATATATTTCTGAAGCTGCTCTGAAAGTGGGATATGTATTCATAAGGAGGGTGCCATTTGCTGGAAAGTCCTTCTCCTTAACCCCATCTGTCTAATTTTACATAAAAAGGGCATTTTGAAAGCAGTACCTGTGAGTTTTCAGAGGCAACTTTTCGGCCACTGCTGGTGAAAAAGCCTTGGGCAAGATGATGCAACAAGGTAGTTCTTATTAACCCCATTAGCTTTGCATATCTCATTATGTCTGGGATGAGGAACCTGTGGTCATCAAGACTCCAGCTTTTCCCATCCCTGCATTAGGTGATACCTGCTGCACATTTCAGCAAACAGTGGCAACCTGCAGAGGTCTAGGGTTGGGTGCTGGAACAAGAACTCCAGGTGTTGATCTCAAGTGCAGCGAGCTTAATTTTCATAGTGCTGTGATATCTTGAGAGGCAGTTCCTAGAACGAAGCTGTTAGAAAATAAGCAGATGAAGATCTTCAGTGCTGACATCAATGATACATTGGGCAGCAGCATTTATGGACAGGTGCCTTTCTGGCTTCATCTCTGCTGATATTTTTAACCATTCTCTCTCTCTCTCTCTCTCTCTCTCTCTCTCTCTCTCTCTCTTGGTGAAAATATGCTTCTTCCCTTGGGGGGGGGATCCTTTTATTTGGTGACTTTAATCCTTGAATCCTTTTATTTGGTGACTTTAAAAGTAAACTCAGGAAGCCAGATCTGAATGAGCATTTGGGCTGATAAAGGCCACCATCAAAAGAACCACACAACAAACTCTGCATACCTTGCAGAACTTTTGCCTTGTCTAGTTTCTCCCAGCAGTTCCCCCCTCCTCTGCCCTCCAGCACATTTGGAAATAAGGTTAATTTCAAGAGCAGTGATGTGGCATTTGGGGGCTGCTACTCTTGGGCACGGGGAGTTTGCTATCCCACTGAGTATGCATGAGATCCATAGGAGCTCTTTGGATTCTGGCCATGGTACAAATCCATTTGAACTCATTTGTAAAGAAGATACAGCACATACATGTTTGGCGTAATGTGTATTGGGCAAGTCCCAGAGCGCCAAGTATAAATGTTCCACTTCTGAATAATACTTTGAATTGAGGCTACAGTGAAAGCTGCCAAAGAAATGCTCTGCTCTGCCACAGAGTGACTTTTAATATGTTTTTAAAGGATTACACAAGGAACGGCTTTTAATATCCCCATTGCACCTTCATACTTCCACTTTCCACCAAGTCTTGCTGCAATAAAGTTGTTTTCTGAAGGGTATGTGATAATCTGTGACTCAAAGCAAAACCACATTTTATTAACTTGCATATCTCAGTAGTTCTGTAAAGCCTACACTGTGATCACAAGCCGCTTTGGCAGGGTGTGTGTAATATAGAACCCCAAATCCACAGCCTCTTTGGGCTTCTTTCAAACTTTCTATGATGTCCCTTAGGCTGAAATTTTATATCAGAGTTTTATTCCTAAAAATAGTTTTAACAACCAGAAGCCTAGTGAAAAATGCACATCTTAAGACTGCAGTTAAACCTGTGTCCATAACTTGAACCATACTGTGCTGCTAAGTTCTGCAAAATGCATCACGTAGAACAGGAATCCAAATAATAAATGAACCGCTTTTCTTTCACATGGACTCCAAATTGGTAACAAATGTAAAATTGTGTAGGAGGCTTCATATCCAGTGTTCATAAGAGCCTACTTGATCTGGTTAATAGCCCATCTAGTCCAGCATCCTGTTCTCCCAGTGGCCTATGGGAAACCTGCAAGCGAGACCCGAGCACAAGAGCACTCTCCAGTAACTGGTATTCAGAAACATTGGTTCCTCCAACTATGGCTCACAGCCATGGATAGACTTCTCCTCCATGAATTTGTCTAATCCTTTTTTTAAAGCCGTCTAGGTTGGTTGACATCCCTGCCTCCTGTGGGAGCAAGTTCCATAGTTTATAAACTGTTGGTTCAGCAAACCTTGCAAATTCCTCCCTCCTCTCATCAGTGCAGCCATGAAGAAGAGATAGGAGCATTTGCTTCTTTTTTAAAAAAATAACTGCAGATTTGCGTTTAATCTAAAGTTAACCATCACAGTGTTTTATTGAAACAAATCATTTTCTTAAACTCTGGTTTTAAAGTTGGCTTGTTCCATCAAACCCTAGTTAATATTAACCACAGTTTGTTGGGTTCAGATGACCCTGCAAACTGTGGCTAGTCAGAAATGGAAGCAGAAGCTTGCAAACTCACAGCCGTGAGGCTCACCTCGGTTTGTCCTTAGAATGCACTGGGGTTTAGCATTACCTCCGAAGCAGGGAGGGACATGTGTATAATCCTGTCCCCCCCCCCCATAAACATACACACAGATTTAGAAAGGAGATTGTGTGACCCAGCCCAGCATGCTTTATCTTCTGTTTATGGATATTGCATTTTTAACGTCGGGTGGGCAACAGCTGTGATTCAAAAGACAATGATGCATAATAATGTAGCTTACATTTATAACAAAGAAGCTGCTGTAGAAATTAATGATCGTTAAGTAAAATGATATTGTCCTGGTTCAGACTGAATGAACCATGGTTTCAGCCCTGGTTAGTAAGCAGATATTAAACCAGTTTTCTTGGCTTGGATGACACAGGACTCTTATTTTACGCAGTCTTAAGCACTGAAGCAGTATGTATTCTGGCGGGGGCACAATCTGTTCTTGAGTTAATATAGAGCAGTTAAAAGCTGAAAGTACTCCAGTTATGTTTCATTTATTAATAGGAAATATCACAAATCCTATAAATAGGGGACATTTTTTAAAAACAAAAACAAAATCCATTCTAACTGACCTGTGAGCAACGTGGATGCAATTCTGTCCGGCCCATTCATGCTCTCTCATAAATGACATGTTGCTGAAACAGAATAACCTCGGGGAAATGATAATGTGCTTTTGTGAATGAATGCGGTCCTTTGACAGATTTTGTACTCAAGTAGAAAGAATATCCAGCCCGTTTATGATCTTAGATTCCCCTGAAACTGAAGTGATTCTTGTGTTCTTTGATAATAAATATGCTCCTAGCTTTTATTCTGCTTTTATGTTTCATTGGCTTTGTCAGTGAACACATGTTTTGAAATTTCTAGGGTCCCGCTGGGAAAAAAGGAATGAGTGGTCAAGCTGGGAAACCTGGGATGTCTGTAAGTAAGCATAATGTTTTATTAATCACACACTAGATTTCAGGTATCAGGTACCCACCGCAAATGCAAGTATCCCTATAATGGGAAGTTTTAAGCGTTTGACATTTTATTATGTTTTTATATGTGCTGGAAGTCACCCAGAGTAGCTGGGGAAACTCAGTCAGATGGGTGGGGAAGAAGAAGAAGAAGAAGAAGAAGAAGAAGAAGAAGAAGAAGAAGAAGAAGAAGAAGAAGAAGAAGAAAGCAGTGGCATGTAGTGATGAAAAACAGCTAATCAGATGGAATTATATTCACTAACATGCAAACTGGTTTAAATTGTACCATGTGTATATTTCACCTTTATATCTCAGTTCTATGCATGTTTACTTGGACTGTGCTTAATGGAGATTTCTGCCTAGTTAGTGTGTTTGGGATTGCAGTCTAATAGAGCATAAGAAAGCCACACTTAATAAAGTCTCTGTTGTAGTCCTAGACATGCCTACAAAGGGCTGGTCACTTTTTCCCCTGCCCCTGCAATTTTTCCTGCGAAAGCCCACTCTTTATCACTAAATCGGAACAAATGGCAGTTAGGGTTTTCCGCAAATTGCCATTTGCTCTGATTCAGTGATAAAGTGCAGGGAAAACACTAGGGCCCAATTTTTTTTTAGCATACTTTGACACAGTGCTTTAAAGCATGAACCCGTTCCTAGATACAAAAGGAAGCCCTAAGATTTCAGTGGTAATTTGTAATGAAACCCACAAGTGGGGCAGGGGGTGGGATTTCTCTGGCACATTTTCAAGTATTCCCCCCCCCCACGGAAAGTCCTCTAATATAGATATTTCCTTGTTTCTGATTTTTCCCATAGTTGCATAGTTGTGTACAACATGTTTGTTCTTCTGCTACAGAAGCTGAATGGCCTGGACGGAAAGAATGTTTGTAGTTGATGTTGCTAGGTGTTGCACTTTAGCAGTCCTACTGATTAAAAAAAAAAGGCATTAGCCAGTATTATTTCCCTAAAACAAAAGAAGGAAAATCCAGAATGTAAAGTGTCTCCATCCAGAGAGGAAGCATATCTAAAAACAAATTAAAAGTTGTCTGCTCTCAGACTTAAGTAACTTTCTCAAGGTATATAACTGTACTTTTTAAAATTGTGTAAAATCATGTTTAGCATAGCTTAGTTGCAAATAGTCTGCTGTTCAGGGCTGTCCTAATACATCTCAAATTTATTTCAGGGTATACCTGGTCCTTTGGGTCAGAAGGGTGTACAAGGCTATCCTGGACCAGAGGGCGTTCCTGGGAATCCTGGAAAGGCTGGCTTACCTGGACAACAGGGCCTTCCTGTGAGTCGTGCTTGCATGGTTGTTTTCCACATGAAAAAGTCTTTAAATATTCTCAGTGCATCATAAACACCTGTAAGCAAGAACCATATGGAAGAAGGGAATTCCATTATTTATTCCTGCCACCTCTCCCTGAGGGCCAGCAGCACTTGTCTGAGAAGTAGCTACATCATTGGTTTGCCAGTATGGTTCTTATTCCATGCCATTGTGGTGTAGGGCCAACTATGTCTCCACCCCCATTGTTCTGCCCGGACACTGAGCTCCAGTGCCTTCTGGCGGTTCCCTCGCTACGAGAAGCCAAGTTACAGGGAACCAGGCAGAGGACCTTCTCAGTAGTGGCACCGGCCCTGTGGGACGCCCTCCCACCAGATGTCAAAGAGGGGGAAAAACTACCAGACTCTTAGAAGACATCTGAAGGCAGCCTTGTTAATAATAATAATAATAATAATAATAATAATAATAATAATAACAACAACAAAAAATTTTCCAGTAGCACCTTAAAGACCAACTAAGTTAGTTCTTGGTATGAGCTTTCATGTGCATGCACACTTCTTCAGATACACTGAAACAGAAGTTGCCAGATCCTTCTATATAGTGAGAAGGTGGGGAGGGGTATTACTCAGAGGGGTGGTGGGAATGGGTGATTGGCAGATAGCTGTGATGAGCCTGTTGACGACTCTTAACGACTGTAGTAGGTCTTACAGGAAAAAGCAAGGGGTGAGAAGGTGAAAAATGGCTTTGTTATGTATAATGAGATAAGAATCCAATGTCTTTGTTCAGGCCAGGTCTCTCCGTGGTTTTAAGTTTGGTAATGAGTTCCAATTCAGCAGCTTCTCTTTCCAGTCTATTTCTGAATGGCTTTTTTTTCTGCAATAGTAAATCGGTTCCAGGAGCCCCAGTCTGTTTTAGAGCGGTCAGGTGCAAAAGACACAGAGCTTCTGTAGCTTCACAACACCTGGATAGCTGGTTAGAGCATGGTGCTGATAATGTCAGGGTTGTAGGTTTAATCCCCGTACGGGACAGCTGCATATTCCTGCATATCTGCAACCCACTTTTCATCAACAGAGATATCAGGGTGGGATACAACTGCTGAAACACCACTTTCTATGTATGCAGGACTCTGGCCAGTTTTACACCTGATCACCCTAGTCTGCTTTGATTTAGGGCCTTATTTCTCCAAGTCATTTGGGGTAGCGAACTTAGTGCTTATTTATGAAATGTTAAAAGTTAATTTCTAAGTAACAATGTTTTTCAATAGACAGCATGTCCTCATTTTAAATAGTATTGTTAGTATCACCATCATTTAATCACGTTTCTGAGCACAATTCAAAGTGTTGGTGCTGAAGGAGCATCTCCACCCCCATTGTTTAGCCCAGACACTGAGGCCCAGCTCCGGGGGCCTTCTGGTGGTACCCTCCCTGCGAGAAGTGAGGTTACAGGGAACCAGGCAGAGGGCCTTCTTGGTAGTGGCGCCCAACCTATGGAATGCCCTCCCATTAGGTGTTGAAGAAATAAACAACTATCTGACTTTTAGAAGACATCAGAAGGCACCCCTATTAAGGGAAGTTTTTAATGTTTGATGTTTTATTATGTTTTAAATATTCTGTTGGGAGCTGCCCAGAGTGGCTGGAGAAACCCAGCCAGATGGATAGGGTATTATTATTATTATTATAATAAATACCATAATTATTTAGATAACAATTTATAGGATGCCATCATTGTACTGATGTTGTGTAAGAGTGTACCTGCAGATAGATGTACGGAGGTGTGTGTAATGAGCATGGCTACTTTGAAGAAACAAAAGCATGTGTTTGGCATATTGCTCAAAAAAAATGGAACCAGTGGTTGATGTGACTATGTATAACTTGCTTGTCAAGGGTAACAGAGGAAGCGTGGGACTAGCTGGACTGGCAGGATATCCTGGAACTCAGGGACCAAAGGGGTTACCAGGTATGCCAGGAAACACTGGACCACCAGGACTAAAGGTACTTCGAATGGGGAGCTTCTCAAGCCAGCTGGCACTGTGTTTGAAATCTTTCTGCCCGCTCATTCGGAAGTAATATCAAAGGCAGAACTGCAGCTTCTACCAAAGCTTATGCACCTGGTATTGTGGAAGTATGCTCCTTCCCTCTCTGAAAATGCATGTATGTAAGCTGCCTTAAAACAAAAGGGTTTTTCTTATAGGGCTTCCCATTTATTTATTTTTAGGCTCTTTACAAACTTTCGCAGTTCACACTAGCATTTTATAGGATCACAAGGGCGACCTGTGAAATTTGAAAGCCCTAATTAGTCTAGGAGTGGTACAGGCATTTCTTCAGCCCCAGTGCAAATTGAGCTATCTTTTTGAATTTACTTCAGGAGCAAGACAAGGCTTTTTGAAAGGGTAAAAAAAAAAAAGAGGGGGGAAAAGAGCATTTAATTTCCCAGCGGTTTGGAAAGAAAGATAGGCACAGCCTGCTCTCTGTACCGAAGGGAAGGCCAATTAGTTTGTACTAATTGCCTTGAAAGAGACTGCTTTCTGTTTTTATGATAAGTGAATCAAACTTAAAGCGAACTACTGGAGAGGGGAGGGGGTAATTATAACTGTCATTATAATTGCATTTGTTAATACTGTGGAGGAATGTGGGGTTGTCAGTTTCTTGGTTGCTATATTGCCAGCTAGGAGCACATTAAAACAGCAGAGTAACCCTAACTTCCTGCTTAGGGGATCCATGGAGCTTTGGATCCTTTGGACTGAATGGCACCACTGCTCCCCACCCTGAAACGCCCCCATATCAGGGTTCTTTGCTGGCTTCCATCAGTGGCAGAAGACCCAACAATGTTTGTTTCCCATCTGGCTGGGCATAATAAGGGTCTCTGCAGCAGTGAAGCCCACCCAGTTCCCCAGGCCAGAGGCATGTCGGTTCCACCACATCCCAACCCCCTCCAGCAGTAAAGACCAAGGGGGGGTTGGTGGGAAGGAATATTCCTACTGAGTTTACATGCCTGGTGGACTGGGTGTTCTTCCTCCAGGTTTGAAAGAAGGAGTTTTTATTTTATTTCAGCAGCGTTAGCTTTGCTTCTACAAATACACAATGCAAGAAGTCTCGCCATTCAGTCCAAATTAGCTGATAATTTTTTGCTTTTTTTCAAAATTCACCAACAGAAAACGAGGGGCCAAAATTAATGACATCACACAAGCAACAATAATTGTCCACCAACATTACCAAGATCAGGCTGATAAGCTGATAACTTATTCAGATCCTAAGCACAGTTTTGAAATAATCCTTTAATCGCTGAACCTCAGAATCAGGGTGAATTCCTGTCAGGAGTAAGCATGGACCAAGGGTACCAAATAGTATGGGAAACAGCCTTACTAGAAAAATTAACCAATAAACTGAAACTAACATGGGGACAAATAGAAGAAGACGCCTTCACTCTGGTATGGCTCCCCTTTATCACATACACAGCCCAACAAGACAATGACAAAAATCCACCAACAACATACAAATCAATATGGCTAACCTGATCCAAAACACCCACCCACCCCACTCACACATGAAAACAAAGACCACCACAGCCAACCACAAATGAACAGCCACACCCTAGGCCAACCCCAACCTCTCTCACCACCAAAGGAACACAAGTGAACAGCAGAGAACCCACACAAGCAACGCTGACACAAAACCTCACATTTATTAAATAATATAGAAACATCACCACCCAACCCCACCCACACTCACCTTTCTCCCCTCCACCTCTTTCCCTCTGTTCTTCCTAATGTCTCAACAAATGAAACCGATTTGTTGTTGTTGTTTTTAAAAAAGTGTTACATGGAAAAAAATACGAGAGAGAGACATTGCACATACCTTTGTAAATCAAGAAAATCTTTAATAGAAATACATTTTTTTAAAAAAAAGAATCAGGGTGAATTCTGCATCAGCATTCATTATCTATGATTTCTTCATGCAGAAATTCCGAGGCACCGTATGCTTCTCCTCTATAAGAATAATAATGAATGCATACTTCCCGTCTTGTTGCAGGGTGAACAAGGGCTTCGGGGTCACCCAGGAAAGCAAGGTAAAAGAGGTCATGCTGGGACCCAAGGCGATCAAGGCCCCCCGGGAGAACCTGGCCTCAAGGGTCATGCTGTATGTACCGCCTGTTGTATGTAAAACAGTTCTTAGTACCATTCAGGTGCCATTTCATATATTAATCTTCCTATCTGCTAATATTTCAGGGACAATCTGGAGATCATGGTTTGATGGGATTTCAGGGATTCCCAGGTCCCAAGGTATGTGCTCGCTCTGAGCCCAGTCCCAAAGCTAAGCATCTTTACAGCCCATTAAATGGGAAATAGTTAAGCATGTCCTTAACCCTCCCATTGGAGCGAATGGAACTAACACGTTCTTAAACTTTGTGTGGCTGGATCATGTCCTTTTTTAAAATCTGAACTGTAAGCCATCTGTAGTGCATGAAAGATCTTCAGCGAGCATTTCTTAATTGCCCTGAGATTGGAGAGCAAAAGAAATAATATTTCACTTTATGAAACAGCTACAGTAATTTGACTGGAAGTGCATTGTCTGTTGAGGCTTTTTCATTGTATCAGAGATCTAAAGAAGAAGATTGCAGTACATAACATTTCGTATTTTATATTAGTTTCACTTTCATTTACTTTAGCTTTTTCTTTTTTTTTAGACAAATGCTTTTTAAAAAGTGTATCAGATGTACTATGACTAAGCTTTTACTTTTCATTTTTTAGGGTCCCGAAGGTGACCTTGGTTTAATTGGAATTTTGGGACCTAAAGGCCCGGTAGGACAAATAGTAAGTGATTCGGTCTATTAATAAACTCGCTGTTCACTGTACAATCTAACTGGCATCTCTGCAGTTCCCATGGGTTTATAGTGAAAACTCAGACCACTTTCCTCCTATGCCAGCAGATAAGTAGGAACAACTGAATTTGAGGACAGGTGACCCAGAGCAGAATTTGTGAGAGTTGTACTTACACCTTGGTTGACCTTGGTTGAGGCAGGGTCAGGTGACCTGCTTCTGACAGCAAATTTGGGGGGTTACCAAGGGAGGGTAGCACATTGTCATTTATATACTTTAATTCTAATCACCATGGAGGCAAAATTTGCTTTTCTGCAAGATTTAATGAATTAATCAGCACCATTGAAGCTTTAACCATAGATAAACCTGTTCCCCCACACAGTCCCCAGCAATTAACTAGCCATAACATTTCAGAACTTGCCAAATGGATCACTGTGCAATCTGCACAGGCATACCAGTTAAGGATCACTTTTATCTTATTACTTATTACAAGTAATGGTATTGTTTGTCTGTTAAGCTGAAAATTATGTCACATATAGATAGGGCTCTTAGATAAACAGCAGAGGTCAAGTTCCTTTCAGTATTCAGGTGTTCAGAAATGCATGTTCAGAAATACAATCGATTTGGTGTGCAAATGAAAGGGATGCAAACTTAACTTGTCTATTTGCCCTTCTTATATCCAGAAACAGAACTGGCCTTCTTTGAACATGAATTTTGAAATATCATTTCACTATTGTTTAATTTTCACCGGGCACGGAATTGTATGTTCTTTAAATAGTCAAATGTCGCACAGTACTGTCGTTCATTTATTGCTCTGAAAATTTATTTGCATTTTGTTTTTAGGGAAACATTGGCCCTGTTGGTAATGAAGGCATCATAGGTCCAGCAGGCAAACCTGTAAGTGCTTAGTCTTTCCCAGGATTGCTTTCCATTGCATGAAGTTTTCCACACTTTGAACAACAAATAGAAGAGAACTCTTTTGCATTGTAACATGCATGCAAGATAAAAGACTTGTTCTGTAGACAAGAACACGAGAGCACTGAATTCCCTTAATAATCCAACCTGCTGTCCTCTGGACATCCATCAGCCCCAGCCTAAATGGGCAATAGCAAGGGATGATGGGAGTTGTAGTCCAAAACATCTGGAGGGTGCACCAGGTTGGCAAAGGCTGCTATAATCCATAAGTATTGCTGCTCGGTTCATTCAGGTGGTGTTTAGCCATTCCAATATATCTGCACAAATGTTATGCATAAGTGAAGTAAAGTTAGATATCCTTCTGTTCTGTAGAAATGAATGGTTTGTTCACCGTGTAAAACACATTGTAATAAATGGTTTCTGGAGTTACTATAATTCACTGTATTTGGGGGTTTTTAAGATGACATGTATTTCTTTTAATTTCAGGGACCCAGGGGTGAAAAGGGATCCAGAGGCGAAATGGTACGTGAAAATAACGTTTGTAATGTTAAAAATAGGGTAGGATGCACAATATATGGGACACGGCATGTTTGGGGTGATTTCTGCTCCATCCACATCCTGCAAAAGTACCAAGTTGGGGGAGGGATCATAACTTCCTTACTAATTCCTTGTTTTCAAGAAATTGTGGGCTGTGTTTATCTGCATCTTTCCAGCTGCTCAGGTGAAAGAAATCTATGCACTTACAGTGAGTCAGATCACTAGCCTGTCTGGTTCAGTATTCTCCACACTGATCGGCCACAGCTTTCTAGGGTTTTAGGTGGGCTCTTACCTGGATGCCAGGAATTGAACCTGGGAATTTTGCATGCAAAGGATATACAGTGGTACCTCTGGTTGTGAACGGGATCTGTTCCGGAGCCCCGTTCGCAACAGGAGCAGAACGCAACCCACGTCTGCGTGTGTGCGGGTTGCGATTCGCTGCTTCTGTGCATGCGCGAGTGGCAAAACCCAGAAGTAACTCTTTCCGGTACTTCCGGGATGCAACCTGAAAAGCCGTAACCTGAACCGAACGTAACAAGAGGGATGACTGTACTCTACCACTCACCTACAGTGCTTCCTGCGACATCATGATTACATAGCTTCTGGGGACAGAAGTGCAAGTGGTAGATAGACGTGCCTCTGCATAACTAGAAATTGTAGAATGTCACCAGAAACATTAGTTATGCTTGCAGCTGCAGTGTAGTAATATGGGCTTTTTGTTGAGAGCATCTTTAGGTGACGCTTGTTAATACGTTCACAGAATGGTAGCTAAGTCCAGCAGCCAGCAGCACTCAGACTAATCCTGGACTCTGTTGTCACTGCAGTGACTTGAGTGAAAATCAGGACCAGCCCAACTTTAAAAGCAACCCGTGAAATTCAAGATTTGTTCAGGGGTCTTGAGACACTTATCTCGGATCATAGCATAGATGACTGGAACAGCAAAATGTCTTGGGCCAATCCTGGTAAAGTGACCTTATTGAGATTTATTTTAGTACTAAGGGATGGGACAACATAGGCCAGAGACTACAGACTTTTTCCTTTCTCAGAAATGTCATCTTCAATGCCAAATCCTTGCAGCTCAGTCTTACTTGAGAGCAAATCAATTATCAGAGACCTTTTGGAACCATGGTACATCCCAATGTCTTTCCCATATAAGAACCCGCAGTAGTCTGGTCCTAATAACTTTCAGATTCGTGGCTAACCTTCAAAACAATCACTGGTTTCTGTGATCGTTATTGTTTGTGTTTTCGGCAGCAGGCATGTTCCATGCATGGTTACCAGAAGTAAATTCTTCTGTGTTCTTGATATTTTTATGGCTGTTCAGTGTCCGAAGATGCTCCTCCTCCTCCTCTTATTTTTTGCCTGATAGTCTACTCTGCTGTCACATAAACACGTCTTCCTGTTAATGGATCTTTCCAGGGTGTTTCAGTGGAAAATAGGCGTCTCTGTGTCATTTAAGTACTCTTTTTTTCCTTTGAAATTGTGCACCGCTGGCAATTAGCAATTTCCTTCCATCACAAATTCATTGCGTGAGCCACTTGTCAGAAAAGGGGAATGCGACTGTTGGCAGCACAAAGCAATTAGCTTTGCCTTTACAGCCAGGGTGAAAGTTCTATTTCCATGTATTTTCACAGACATCAAATAATTTTCATTCAGCTCTGTACACATTCCTTTGAAGCAAAGAAAACCATTGGCATCCTTCCTAGATGCCCGATTCCTTTTAACACGGAATGGTATTAGGATTTCTGAGCAGAGCAATTAAAAACAATAAATAAGAAAGGGGTAGCCTTCTTTTTCTATGAATAAACAAGAAGTCAAAAGTATACTGTGTTTCCTGGAAACAATATTTTTTGCCAGTACTGACAAGGAGAGCGTACAGCAAAAAATATGCAGTGCAGAAACAGCAAGATCATGCTTCTCTGAGTTTCAGGATTATAGTCTTCTGCTCACATTGGGGGGGGGGGACCAAGTACATCAATAGTCAGAAAATGGTAACTGATTCTGAAAAGGCTGGATACAAGGACGAGGGGAACAAACTATAATGGAGGTCCCAAGAGTTCTATAAGAGGTATAATATATCTCAAACCTCTCTCTCTTCTTCTCAGAAAGTCAGGCTGCATACACAATATACATTTAAAACATACATTTGACTTCCTCCAAAGAATCTTGGGAAATATAGTTAACTCCCTTGCAGAGCTACAGTTCCCAGCACCCCTAACAAGCTACAATTCCCATGATTCTTTAGGGGAAAGGCGTGTTCTTTAAATTTATGGCACATACCGGTACTCAGCATCACATAGCTATCCTGTTCTGGACCTGTGGAAGAGCCTGCAAAGCAAAGCTATGGCAAAGTTATTCTTCTCTTGAGTTCAAGGGCATTGCAAGGCCAGAGGAAAGGCCCTATTGCTGCCACCTACTGACCTGTAGTGTTGTGGTTTTATTGTTTTAATTTTATTAAATATTTTCTGTGGCTTTTGTTTTATGGTTTGTATCTATGTCTGGAGAGCACAGAGACTGCAGCCAAATGTCATGCTGCATCCTGGGTGGTCCTACCCCATAATAAGGTTGGACAGACCAGAAATGAGACCTCAGAGTGACACTGAGGCTTCTGAAGCCTTGCAAGGCTTGTGCAGACAATCATCTTTTGGGTTTCTGCAACGTAAACAGGGAGGCAGAGCAGATAAGGGAAGCTGGTGTAGCAGAGAAGGCGATAGATAAACAGAGGAAATAAGACTGACAGAGGAAGACGAGAAAAGGGGGAGACTTGAGGGGAAGGATCAAAGAATTGTAGAATTGGAAGGGACATCAAGAGTCATCTAGTTTAACCCCCTGCTATGCAAGAATTTCAGCGAAAGTATCTAGGGGTCTTAGTATGGACCACAAGTTTAACATTAGAGTGTGGTGCTGATGACGCCAAGGTTGAAGGTTTGGGACAGGTATGGAACAGCTGCATATTGCTGCATTGCAGAAGATTGAATTAGATGATTCTCTGGGTCCCTTCCAACTCTACAATTCTATGGTTTTATGAGCCAACAGTGTGATACAGCAGCAAAACAACAATAAACAAACAACTAATGCTATTCCAGGCTCCATCAACAGACATATGGTGTCCCAAACAAGAGAAGTCATAGTCCTGCTCTATTCTGTGTTGGTCTGACCACACTTGGAATACTGTCCAATGGGCACCACAGTCTAAGAAGGATATTGGCAAGCTGGAACGTGTGCAGAGGAGGGCGACCAAGATGATCAAGGGTCGGGAAACCAAGCCTTATGAGGAACGGTTGAAGGAATTGGATATGTTTAGCCTGGAAAACTGGTTGGACAGTGCTCTCGAAGATACCAACATGAGTTTGACCAAACTGCGGGAGGCAGTGGAAGACAGGAGTGCCTGGTGTGCTCTGGTCCATGGGGTCATGAAGAGTCGGACATGACTAAACGACTAATAATAATAATAATAGATTTATTTATATCCCGCCCTCCCCAGCCGAAGCCGGGCTCAGGGTGGCTAACAGCAATAAAATAGTACAACATTATAAAATCATTTCATTATAAAATTAATTCAACTCAAATTTATGGCAACCATTAGGCTAAAGTTCTGTGAAGATTGCCAAAGGAGGGAGTCAGGCTATGCCCTGACCAAAGGCCTGGTGGAACAGCTCTGTCTTGCAGGCCCTGCAGAAAGATGTCGAGTCCCGCAGGGCCCTAGTCTCTTGTGACAGAGCGTTCCACCAGATTGGAGCCACAGCCAAAAAAGCCCTGGCTCTAGTTGAGGCCAGCCTAACCTCTCTGTGGCCTGGGACCTTCAGGATGTTTTTGTTCTGTGGGACATACAAGAAGAGGCGGTCCCGTAGGTACGATACAACAGTGGCCTGGAAAACAGGAGTGTGAGATAAGATATGACAACCATCTTCCAATATCTGTCTCCAGGAAGATGGAGCAAGCTGGTTTTCTCCTGCACTGGAGGCTAGGACCCAAACCAATGGATTCAACCCATCCCATGGCACAGCATGTAGACATTATATGGGGAGGTGTTGCTTCTCTATATGGCATGCTTATTTAATTTTCTAAAAAACACATACAGTGTACATTATGCATGACTAATAAATTAATAATACAAATTTTAATAAATGATATTTTTTGACTAATGGGTTGGCTGGTTGAAAAATACGCAGAATTGCTTGTTCGTGACATGCTTTAAATCCTTTATTAAACCATTTTAAAATGCTAAATGCACCCACAGTATTCACAGGGGGTAGGACTGGATAAACAGAGAACTTCAGTAATTGAGTCGTATTGGGCTGACACCTTTGACAGAAAGCTTACTCAGTTTTTTAAAAGTACACAGACTCGCTTTAAAAAGTACACAGCAACTCAGGCAAATGGTCTACAGTGCACTAAGAAATCTTTGTGTAGGTCATAGCTAGTAGAGAATAGCCTTTGTCGTCCTGGTCCATTTTACAGCTAGTTTAATATATGCATTAAACATGTCAGTCTTCTTTGTAAACTGCATTTCATTCCAAGGTGGTATATAGAGATTTATTTTACTTTTTTAAAAAAAGAAAAACTATATTTCATGCATTTTTATCATCTCTTTTTACTCAGGGACCTCAAGGATCACGAGGCCATCCAGGTCCACCTGTAAGTGAATCTACATTATTTTAAAGTTTGCATAACTGCATAATTGTATGAACCACTCTTATATGGTGTCCCCCTCTCTCCTACCTTTCAGGGTCCACCAGGGCCACCTGGTCCAAGAGTAAGTTGGATATGTTTTCTATGATGGTTTCAGCATTGAATTGTAAAATAGTTGGGGCACTATCCTCTAGAACTTTTGTAGTCACTATTAAGAAGGGGTGGTGGTATTAGTTTTTTGTTGTTGTAAGATTTATATACCGTCCTTCATTAAAAGATCTCAGGGTGATTGACAAGATAAAAATACAGATAAAGCACAAATAAATAGTTTTTTAAAAAAACAATAGCCCCCCCAACACATTTAAAGGGCTGTAGTGTAGTGGTTAAGAGCGGTAGTCTCGTAATCTGGTGAACCGGGTTCGCTTCCCCGCTCCTCCACATGCAGCTGCTGGGTGACCTTGGGCCAGTCACACTTCTCTGAAGTCTCTCAGCCCCACTCACCTCACAGAGTGTTTGTTGTGGGGGAGGAAGGGAAAGGAGACTGTTAGCCACTTTGAGACTCCTTAGTGTAGTGATAAAGCGGGATATCAAATCCAAACTCCTCTTCTTCTTCTAGAATATTAGTCACCCAAAGGCCTGGTACTGAAAATGCCAGACAAACTTTCCCTGGGGAGAGGGATATATTTTGTTTTCTTGTTTCTGTATTTTTATGTTGCAAACCGCCTTGTGATCTTCGGATGAATACAAATTTAATAAATAATAAGAACAATGAATGGGAGGTGGACAAGAGTAACCTTGCCCAGCCGCCATCCCTTCCAATGGAGCATGCCTAGGAGATTCTGGAGGACTCTGCCCACTGAGCAGGGGCAATGCAGTGTAGTTGGCGGTTCGAATCCCCGCAACAGAGTGAGCTCCTGTTTCTCTGTCCCAGCTCCTACCAACCTAGCAGTTCAAAAGCATGTCAGTGTGAGTAGATAAATAGGTACCGCTGCGGCGGGAAGGTAAACGGTGTTTCCGTGTGCTGCTCTGGTTTCCGTCACGGTGTTCCATTGTGCCAGAAGTGGTTTAGTTATGCTGGCCACATGACCCAGAAAGCTGTCTGTGGACAAACACCAGCTCCCTCGGCCTGAAAGCAGAGATGAGCACCACAACCCCATAGTCGCCTTTGACTGGACTTAACAATCCAGGAGTCCTTTACCTTTTTCCTCCTAAGCATGTTTACTTTCATGGGGCTGCATTTAGGATTGCAGCCTCGAGCTGTATCAGGGCTTAGAAAGGTTTGCCTTTAACTTGGTTCATGTTCTGTGTATAAGCAATATATTGAGTCTTTATAAAATATTATACATTATGCTGTTCCTAGGGATCCTTCCTAAAAGGCAATATCTGACTAAGCCATGCTAAGGATAGATCCATTGAAGCCAATGGATTTACGTGAATCATGGCTGACTTAAGTCCATTGCATCTACTCCGAGTATTGCGGAAGTGTGTCCACCCAAAGTATTTCATGCTTTTAAAAAACCCTTCTCCCTTCTTTGCCACGTTTTGCTCTTTTTAACCAGTATCCACCAGTCCTCAGTCACAACTTCACCACAAGCCTTAATGTGTGATTTGTGGCAGTTGGAAGGCGCAAACTACCTTGAAGCATAAAAATGGCAATTGTAGGAATTGCAAGCAAGCCTGGAAGATTATAGTAAAATTAGCACATTCTCCTCACTCCCCCCCCAAAAAAGCCATCTCTTTTTTATAATATTTTAAAATTAGTTTTCAGTTACAGTCAAATGATAGCCTCATTATAACAATTTCTAATACAATTATTAATACCAATCGTTCAAATACCAAATTATATAATTTAGATAAAGTGGCATGCTAGATTTGCTGGTTTGATAATTTTCTTTTTTCCTGCATTCCAAAATCTTTTTAATTTGAATTGCATTCCGGTCATAATAATAATCCCTTTTACAACAACAGCAATATTAATACTCTTTGGCAATAAGTATTTTAATTATGTGGCAGGAGCCAAAGAATGTGCATAATTAATTTCTGATGTTCTGATGGTTTGTTTGTTATGCTGCTGATATTAAAATGTTCGATTATATACAGAAGCAGATTGACATCAGTGTTGCTATTCAAGCCTTGATTGATTCCAATACTGCGTTACAGATGGAGGTAAAAATATTTACATGTTTAGCTTGTCACATGTATACAAGTTATAAAAGTCGCTTCACTGTTAAGCTGTATCTCTTCAGAAATATTTAATTCATCACACATTTACAAATATCATACTACTTGGCAGGGGTGGGAATAATGAGGGGGAAACTGTACATATAAACACCGCAGGATATAGAGAATAAGTTTTGCAGCTGAGTCTTTGAGACCTCTGGCCTAAATGCTCAGAACATTTATGCAATAGCGGTCTGCTTAATTGGAAACACATTATATGAATGAAGTATTGTGTTTTTGTGAGGCTGCAACTTGAGAGAGGTATGCACACAGCGCAAAGCGTAATTTATAAAATGTACTGGTGGCTTTTGTTCGGACCTTAAGACTCCATCAGAAGTTGTTTCGTCGCTGCCGTTCATGTAATAAATGTGCTTGTGGGCATAGGCGCCGACTCCATGGGGCCTGAGGGGGCTCGAGCCCCCTCAAAAAATTTTTTTGGGGGGCTCAGCCCCCCCCAATAATCTCGGGCGCCCTTCCAGCAGAGCGCCGCCGCCGTCCCCCGCCTCCTCCCCACCTGCTCCCTCGCCAGCCAGCCAGCCAGCCGCGCGCCCTAGTCGGAGAGCCCCGGCCGTCCCCCGCGAGATTAGGGAATCCCCGGGGGCGGGGGCTCCTGCCTCGCTGCTTCGCAGCACCACCGCCACTGCCAAGGCACTGCCGGGGGGAATTTCCTTCCTCCTGGCCCCCGCGAGAACAGGGGAATCCCGACTGGCCACACCTCCCAGCCAGCCGATTGGCTGGCTGGGGGGGCGTGGCTTGCCCTATTTAGGGCCGGAGCCACTTTATTTGCATATTCATGAGCTTATTTATTATTCATGAGCTTTCCCGGGCCCCCCCAATATTTTTTATAAGTCCGCGTCCCTGCTTGTGGGGTCAGTCATCGCTGTAGGGGGCTGAAATGATGTTCTTCTGCAGAGAGTTCCCAATTTGTCAGAAATCAGACCACAAGGTTCGGTTACTGGGAAACGCTGTTCTTCCAAACATGTCCACCACCACTACGATCGCTGTGTGAAATAGTTAAATAAATATCTCAACCCCTGTGCCTATGTCATTCCTGAGCCATTTGATGATTTTTTAAAAGTGTGTTGTTTTTTTTAATTCAACATACTTTAAGGGACAAAGCACCCATCTAACCTTTGAAGAAGTGGAGGTTTCTTTCCCTTCTTCATTTCACAATTCTTATTGCCCTCTCTAGGATAGGAATGCAAATCTGCATTATTAATGTTATCATTCTTTTCCTTGAAAGGGAAGGCAGTATTCCTATTTACTGCAGCAGCAGCATCCAGTCTCTTGTTTCCTTCCATGCGCCATTATGTATGGGAAGGATCTCATGCTATTGCCTTAGAATAGTGATTAGCTATTTTGTCTTTCAAAGACAAAATGTCATTGGGGTATACTTGTTTGGATTTTGGGGGGTTAGCATGTGTAGATTTTCTGCATATATGAATCACTTTCACTTAAAAAATTAAATTCCCTTTTTATTACGTATCTTTTACCTCAGTGTAGCTTTCAGTATCTCTCGTGAATACGTTGCCCTTTCAGTTGAAAATCCAGCTTTATGATCCAGTTTGCCATTTGGCCATGTCTCAGTACTAAGCCATTTTTTTTGTGTGATACCATAAAATGTCAATTTTTGTTGTTTTTTTCTCCTTGGCAGAGCTACCAAAACACTGAAGTAACATTACTGGATCACAGTGCCGAGATATTCAAAACATTACATTACCTTAGCAATTTACTGCACAGTATTAAAAACCCTCTGGGAACTCGAGATAACCCAGCACGTATTTGCAGGGATTTGCTTAACTGTGAACGTAAGGTGTCTGATGGTAAGTCCCGCCCCCATTGTTATTAATTGCTCTGAAATGAGTCCTAATCATATCTGTAGCGACCGTGCACAATCTACGGTGCAGTTGGTTTTGGGTTTAATTCATCTATCTGGGCATTTTTGGCCAGTTTGAGGTACTGTTTCTAGGTTGGATGGTGACTATGGTTGGAGAGCCAGTGTGGTGTAGTGGTTAAGAGCAGTGGACTCATAATCTGGTGAACTGGGTTTGATTCCCCGCTCCTCCACATGCAGCTGCTGGGCGACCCTGGGCTAGTCATACTTCTCTGAAGTCTCTCAGCCTCACTCACCTCACAGAGTGTTTGTTGTGGGGGTGGGGAGGGAAAAGGATTGTTAGCCGCTTTGAGACTCCTTAGGATAGTGATAAAGCTGGATATCAAATCCAAACTCTTCTTCTTCTTCTTCTCTGCCTCTGCAGCATGGCTCTCACACTCCTTGAGTGTTCTCTTGAGTCTCCTATCGCTGCTGTAGGATTCGGCTAGCATAAACATATCACCAAGAGAAAAGTTACTCTCGCTACTCTCACAAGATGATTGTACAGTCCTTTGGCTGTTGTCACTGTGAAGCCAATTTTAAAAAGGAGAGGAAACCTTGTAAAACACTTTGTTACACCTTTTCCCACTTCTGGATTTCTCAGTTGAACATACTTGAACCTAAACTCGCATCTGTTTTTCCCCCTCCCTCTCCATCTTGGAAACAGGAAACATAAGGCTGGGAAATTCTATTTTCTTTCCTAATTTTTCTGCCTTCCCCAACTGATAGGAAAATACTGGATTGATCCGAATATTGGATGTCCTTCTGATGCCATTGAGGTTTTCTGCAACTTCAGCGCTGGTGGCCAGACATGCTTATCACCTGTCTCTGTAACTAAGGTATATTGTTCTCTTCTGAAAGACCCTCATTACAGTCTTCTGGATTCTACTTATGCCTTTTTTTTTTAACGTAACCTCGCCGTATGCGCCTAAGAACAGGAAAATACCCTGATAGTCTTTGTTAGCACTGGATTAGTTTTCTGAAAATCAGTAAACTTCAACTCCACATTAGGGCTAGTGAATATTTGCAATATATACCTGTAATAGTTCTAGGGGTTGCTCATGCGTAAGCCGGTGCCAACACCTGGCTGGGTTGCCTGAGTGAACCTTTCCTGTCCGGACAGCCACTCAGAATGGCTGTCTCAATCGCTGGCAGAATCCGTCAGTGGGCGTTTCTTAAACTTCTTCCAACATAGAAGCTTTTTCACACCCAGTCTCCTCCTACTCTCCATGCGCGGAAGCCTTCTGCGCAAGGAGGGCGTAGGCAGCGGAGGACCCTTCCTCCCCCTGCTGGTTCCCAGCATGGAGTCATGTGACTCCCTCTCAGATTCCCCCATCTGCCCCCCTTCTCCACTGGAGCTGAGCTGATTCCCTTCCCCAGAAGATGGGCTGCCTCTCCCAATCCCGGGACGCTCTCTGGGATCCCTCTGGAGCTCTCTCTCTCCCTCCGGCACTGATGGCAGTTCCCTGACAATACCGTATTTTTCGCACTTTTCCCCCTCCAAAAATTAAGGGGAAATGTGGAGCGAATGCAGGCTCCTTGGCTTCAGCAATAGCAAAAGCCTCTGAAGCGCAGAGGAAGCGCAAAGGAACCTGAAGCCTCCGGAGCGCAGCGGGAACTCGCGCTGCACTCCGAAGGCTTCAGGGATAGCCGGCTGAAGCCTCCGTAGTGCAGCAGACTCCTGGCTTCAGCAGAGAGGGAGAGCTGCACAGCACCCCTTCAGCCAAGCGGGAGGAGAAATGGAAGGGGCTCCGTTTCTCCTGCGGCTTCGCTGAAGGGGCGCTGAGCAGAGAGGGGGAGAATTTTTTTTCTTGTTCTCCCCCTCTAAAACAAGGTGCGTCCTATGGTCGGGTGCATCCTATAGAGCGAAAAATACGGTACTTAGGAAGCTGCCGTGCAGAGTCAGACCATTGGTTCCGCTTGCTCAGTATCGTTATCGTCTGCACTGACTGGCAGGCAGCTTTCCAGGGGTTCAGGCAGTATGTCTTCCTCACCCCTATCAAGAGATCCTAGGAATTGAACTTGGGCTCTTCTGCATTCAAGGCAGATGCTGTACCACTGAGCTACAGCCCGTCCCCAAAGAGGGTGCTTTGCAGCAGAGAAGGGGAGGAGAAATGTGTGCTTAATCAGCTACTTTTCTCCATGCATTGTTGCAGGCTCATGTTTGCAAGATAAATCGGGTTCAGAACCCTAGCAAAGGGAGGAGGGAGAAGTTGGTGGGGAGTAACCTTTGCAATCAGCAGTGAACTCTTAGGCTAATGTTATACGTAGCTGCAGTGAAATGTTAGTTCAGTCATCAATTACGGGCTTGTTCCTTAGGCTGGATGTCCAAAAATAAAAGGAAAAAATAGGTATTTCTGAGTGACTGCATGATAGTAAGCTCCACTTACTGTCGTCTCCAGCAGTCGTAACATTGAAATGCAAGTGGTTAATTTGAGTTCTCAAGTTACACAGAAGACAAAACTCTTTACTTACTGATAAAATGACAGTTATCACTCAGCAATTTCTGTTGTTCGATGTGGCACTGTACCCTGGCTCCCAGAACGTTTGGTGGATTTAATGGAAAATTTGAAAAAAAAACAAGAACAGGAGTGTCTTAAAATGCTGTTACACCCTGGGACGTAGACTAATGTAAAAGACCATGTTGTACACAGCTGAAGAAACATTGGAAAACACTAGCAAAGTGTCATTTGGGAGTGACATATGGAAGAGCAGGCATTGCTTCAAAGAATGTCGTCTTCTTTTCCCCCCATTAACATTATAAACTGCCCACTGTCATCTTCCTACTCATATTTATGTAGTGCAAGTTTTCTGTAAGGAGGACATATTTCTGTGGAGAGCGGTATGCATGTTTTGTCTAAATAGTTTACATTAGCAGATTAAATGTCAATAGTTTGTTATACCAGTGGAAAGAAATGTTTATGAAGCCTTTGTAAAGGTATGTCTAAATTGCATGGGATCACTGTGCTTTTGTGGCTATAAAGTGCAATCTGACTTTCCACACTAACGTGTGTTTTTGTTAAAACAGTTGGAGTTTGGCACTGGAAAAGTGCAGATGAACTTCCTTCATTTACTGAGTTCAGAAGCAATCCATACCATCACAGTCCACTGTCTAAACACCCCGGTGTGGGGAACCAATGACCTACGTGCTCAGAGGCCCTCTGTCAGCTTCAAAGGATGGAATGGCCAAATGTTTGAAGCAAATGCGCCGCTTGAACCAAAAGTGCTTCTAGATGAATGCATGGTAAGCCATCTGCTTGCATTGTTAAAATTTTCAGTGAAAGTAGTGTTTAGTTTGAATTAATACAGATGAGAGTCGAAATTCTGGACATTTACTTTACCCGCTACTGTTAACATTTATGTTTGTACTTCAGTGATTCTTATTTCTTAAGGATACCAACACAGAGACACACCTAGCACTCATGCAAAATCCAAACGTGCCTCTGTCCAAAAGTTGCAAGCAGCTGTAGTGCTTTCTTTCCCCGTCACTTAGCATCAGAATCCATTTAACCACAGAGTTGTTAGCCTTGGTGTTCTTAATTACTCACTGGGCAGGTTACAACATTTCTATCAAACTGTATTTAGAAGCCTCTGTTTGGGAGAAAGCAATAGTGCTTCTTAGGATGATAAAGAGGGACAGGGACGCCGTGAGCCCTTCTGCAACAGTGCACAAGTGTCACAAATCCCTCTGTGCACTACTGGTACCCATGCCAAAGATGGGTCACCCATGTCCTAAATCAGTTTTCCAAACTTGGGTTTCCAGCTGTTTTTGGACTACAATTCCCATCATCCTTGACCACTGGTTCTGTTCACTAGGGATGATGGGAGTTGTACTCCAAAAACACTTGGGAGACTCAAGTTTGGGAAACACTGTCCTAAACAAATGACAGAACTCAAAAAGTCAGAATGTTTTGGACTATTTGATGAAAACTTGAAAGCGCTCCTTTCCCCTCCCAATTGCTATTGAATTGCCTCTGGTTTATGAACAAGATGTTGCAATCCAAATACTTCATGTTTTTTTATTTGAGAAAGCCAGGAAGTATCCATTTACACATGATCTGGTCTTGTCATCATTTGCTCTCCCTGACCTCAAAGAGCAGAATAAATGTCAGCATGACAAGCCCTTAAAGAACTGGAAGCTGTGCAAAGTAGGTGCTAAAATGCTATCAAATCAGCATTTTCCATTTGGTTAGTTTTCTAGCTCTTTCCACTCATAGCTATTAAACGTATTATGTACTATATTTATATCCTACCCTTCCGCCAAACAACTCAGGTTAGTATACAGAAGGACATCCCATTTTATTCTCATAATAGTCCTGTGAGGTGGGACTGAATGATAATGTGTTAGTCCAGTGTCAATAAATGTAGTAAGTACAAAGGAATCTGAAAACAGATTTCTGCAATTCCCCAAACTATCCACTAAAACACACTGGCTCTTTATGAAACTGTGGTGAATGCAGGCTGGAAATATAATATATGATAAAGGTAGTGCTGTGAAGTTACTGAAAAGTGCAGTTTTTCTGTGAGATTCTCTGAGATCTTTATCTCTTTCTGCAGGAAAGAGATTTCTACAGAATTTCACAGATGCCTGTCTGCAGGGATTTCACTTTTCAGTGGCTTCCACTGTGCTCACATCTTTGACTGGTTGGGCAAATACAGAAATTGCAAACTTCCAAAGCCCTCGTCAACTGTTGTTGTTGTTTTGATATATTTATAGATTGCACAAAGTTTTGATTCAAACGTTATCAATCCTGAAGTGTGTACTAAGATGTAGCTTTTAATTTATTCATAACTTTTTTTTTAAAGAGCATTTTTAGAACTGAGGATGTTACACAAAAATCTCACTTTCCAAATCCTTCCTGGATTTTCTCCATGGTGCTGTTTTCCACACAACATTAAGAAAGCATAAAACAGGGGTCAGCAAACTTTTTCAGCAGGGGGCCGGTCCACTGTCTCTCAGACCTTGGGGGGCGGGCGGACTATATTTTGGAGGGGGGGAAATGAACGATGCCCCACAAATAACCCAGAGATGCATTTAAAATAAAAGGACACATTCTACTCATGTAAAAACACGCTGATTCCCGGACCATCCGCAGGCCGGATTTAGAAAGCGATTGGGCCGGATCCAGCCCCCCAGGCCTTAGTTTGCCTACCCATGGCATAAAATAATGTACCAAATCCTGAACACATTAATATACAAGACCAAGTGTAATGAATAAATAATTGTCCTTCGTTACTGTTTTTCTCTCAGAGGCCTAGGAAATATTAAAATAAAAAAAGCATAGTGGCTGATTGTTAATGTGTGTTAATTAACACTCTTGTTATATGCACTGCAGATTCAAGATGGCAGCTGGCATAAAACCCAGTTCCTTTTTCACACTCAAGACACCACTCAGCTTCCAGTTGTTCAAGTGCAGAAATTTCCTCATCTCAAACAAGGACAACAGCGTTACATAGAAAGTGGCCCGGTGTGTTTTCTCTAGACTTCTGAATGGAGTGGAGTTTCTCACATGGAATTGCTGCAAGTAGTGGTTTTTAAAAAAAAAAAACTGCAGAAGAAATATAAAGAAAAATGTTGGTGCTTTCTAAATGAATCTCAGGAAGAAAAAGACTTCCTCCTAAGAAGGAGATACTGCTCTTAAATAAAGAAGAAGAAGAGAGAGACCTTGACAACCTTAATAAAGTATTTAATTTTCCATTGGTGCTTTTTATATTATTCGCTGGAACTGAAAACACTACATATATCTGGAAATTCTTCAGAAAACCCAGTGTTTTTTAACCTTCGTAACAGCATTGTCCCGGGACACCTTAAGGAAAGATAGAGGCATGCAGTACTAGGAGCAACTCTGGCTAACGCTCCCAAATGTGCAATAGCTTGTATTATAATTGTATGACAATGAGTTATGCCACCATAAAACAAATGGTTCCCTTAAACACTTAAGTTGTATTACAGTCCTTTGTGGACACAGACATCTTAACAGATGATACACTACCTCTTATGTGTTTCCTGTTTGTGTTGCCTGGTGCTCTCTGTACAACTCAAAAGTCTTTGTGGCCTTGGTCAGGATTATTTGGATCATTTTTTAATTACTTTTTTTTGTTAGACTGTATGTGCTGGTTGCATTCATTGTAAAATTGTGTCTTTAAAAAAATATTTGGTCACATACTTCATTATGAGTGAAAACATTATTTATGTGAAAACCTTGTTTAAAATGTTTAAAATGTCTATAGACATGGAAATGGTACACGAGGCAGAACAGTATCTGGTGCTTATAAGAAGAACAGGATTTTGTAGTTGTAGGACGACTACACACAGTAGTCTTTTAAGAAGTTTTTGGACTGCAGTTAAAGATTTTATCTATCAAAGGCCATCTACAATGATGTATTGTGTAAATATTTTGTAACTTGTTGAAAATGTTAATACAGCATATATTTAAATGGCTGCTATTAAATTATAATAATCTTAATTACTTCAGCCTCAGGGGCATTCTATCCCAATAATATTATACTGTTTCACATATATATTTATTTCAGACCAAATATTTTGCGGCTCGGGACCGCAATACCTCAAGGACCGCCTCTTCCCATATGAACTGACCCAGACTTGTGGTCATCATCTGAGGCCCTCCTTCGTGTGCCTCCTCCTCGAGAGGTCCGGAGGGTGGCAACATGAGAATAGGTCTTCTCTGCAGTGGCCCCCTGTCTGTGGAATGCTCTCCCCAGGGAAGTTCACCAGGCGCCTTCATTATACACCTTTATGCGCCAGGGAAAAACGTTCCTTTTTAACCAGGCCTTTGGGTTACATCCTATGCCCTTTTAAAAATGTATTTTTGGGGGGGGGGAGCTGTTGGGTTGTTGTTATTATCTTTATTAGGTATTTTGTGGTTTTATATCTTGATTTTATTCTGTGAACTGCCCTGAGACCCCCGGGTACAGGGTGGTATATAAATTCTAATCATAATCATAATTAGAATCATAATATATTTTATCCATCAAACTGTCAGAAACAGTCTAGCAACTTTAAAAGTTCCTTTCTGTTGTCAACAAGGTTCAATCCAATATTATCTGCACCTCCTTGTATTTGGGGAGGGAAAGTAGTTGTTTTTAAACAGTTTATCAGTTCCAGTCCTTCCCTCTGGAGCAAAGAGAACAAGTCTGTGCCATCTTTTGCATAATAGGCTTATGCAAGCCTTCTCCAGGCTTAAATGTACCAATCTCTTTCAACCATTCCTCGTAGATCTTACTTTATTGACTCCTCACCATCTGGTTTTTCTCCACTAGGTGCACACATTTGTCAATTACCTTCTTAAAAATCTCCTCAACATGACCATTAAAACCTGATGGATGCTTTATGGACAGGCATTAAACAATTTATGCAGTTCTTCCAGATTACAAGATGTCCTGCCCTGCAACTGTTAGATCCTATGAAGTCTAAGATTTGACGTCTAGTTTCATGAATCAGAATGGTAAAACCTACGAAGCATATACCTCGAGTCTGCCCACCAGCAGCAGAAAGCCTTTGCTTGGTGTTCTGCAAGCTTGTTAACTCATTAATGTAGCCCTACTCCCATAGCTTCAATTGTAAGATCTGACATCTATAAAAGGAGATGTAAAGGTGAGAAAAAGTCATACACATAGGGCTTTGTGGCTTAAATGTTCAGAAGCAAAAAAAAACCCCAAACCCACAAATGTTTAAAATCATTCTTATTTGTTGTGATTTAAGTGGCAAAGATGGAGTTTGGGACTTGGTTCATATTTTTTTATGCATCTGGATCTGAAAATACAGCTACTGAATTTGTTTAAAGAAATCTACACCCTTCCTGGATTTAATGCTTCATCCAGTGGTTAGTAACATCATTATTGCAGATGTTTCTGCTAGGAAATATACCAGGGTTAGGAAGCAAACAAGTAAAGTGTCACTGTTTCACAGATCCACCCAAAGCAACGCCTCATAAATTTTTCAGTTGCTGTCCAAAAAAAAAGAGGATTGCATTGTAAACAACCCTAACTCTAGGGTCAAGTCTGTTACTTGAGAGTCTCATCAAAGGGATCATTCTAGCGTAAAATGACTTGGAAAATGTAGTTTGCTTATACTGCATTGTAATTTCTATCTGCTGAAGAGTTTAAGGATTTCTACTGAAGTGCTTAGTGCTCCTGAAAATTTACTACCATTATATATGTACAGTGGTACCTTGGTTTAAGAACAGTCCTGTTTACAAACGATTTTGTTTACGAACTCCGCAAAACCAGAAGTAGTGTCCTGGTTTGCGAACTTTACCTCGGTCTAAGAACAGAATCTGAACAGTGGAAGGGCACCGGGGGCAGGAGGCCTCATTAGGGAAAGCACACCTCTGTTTAAGAATGGTTTTGGTTTAATAATGGGCTCCCGAAATGGATTAAGTTTGTAACCGAGGTACCACTGTATAATGTTATGCTGGCGATAGCTGGACCACTGGATTGCTCTGCCCTGCTACACAGATGTGATAACTGAGGTTAATCCGAGACAAGCTCATGAGAATTCAGCTCTAAAACCTGTTGTCAACACCAGGCCTCCACAATGTAACATAGGAAAAAAGGAAATATATTTGCACAGGTGCAGAGTGCCTTTCCTGGGCAAGTAACAGTATAGTTTTTTTAATTTCTGAGACTAGAAGGGTGTCTATGGCAGAGGAGGTGGCTTATAAATTCTAGACAGTGGCTGCCATCTTGTGCTACATGTTATGAACCATCCTGGGTATAATGAGAAAGCAGAAAAAGAAAGGAGGGGTTTCCTTTCATATCCTAAGCTTCTCCAGGTACTCTGCACATTCGTATGCCTAGATGTGAGTGTATACATGGTGGAAGCATCAGGAATATTAAAAACACATGTACGCACATAGTCATCCCTTGATTCGCCTAGAAACAATTGTTTTTTATGGTTGTAGGATGTGTTTTTAGGATTTTTGAGAGTAGATCTGGAAGAAGCTACAGCAAATTAATACAACCCTATACTTGTTTGCTCAGTATCTTCAATGGGGCTTATTCACTAGAAAGAGCATTTAGGCTTGCAGCCCAGGATAGTTTATTCAGAATACACTGCTGAGTAGGAGCACTACTCAGAGAGATTGTTGTCTCAAAACAATTTTGTGTAGCTAGCAACACTTCCTTCTTTCAGGCTGCAAAGGACATCTCATATCTTACATAGCCAAGTTAGGGTTACCACTTATAAGGAACAGTCCCAAGTGTACACTTATGGTGAGGAGTTCAGAATATGTCTCCCTGAAGGCCACAGCTCATCTGTTACACCTTTACACGTGGTTGCCCCTTTAATATTTACATTATTTCCCAGACTGGAATTGTGTAACACGAGAAGCAGCCTTAGCAGATGTGGGTTATAGACAAAGGCCAGGGGAAGAGGAAGTCCCTTCAAGCCACTATATTGTGAAAAGTCGGGTCTACATTACCACACAGACAGTATCTGATGGGAGGCTCCTTCCTTTTGCTGCCATTAACTAGGAGAGCTCCTGAGAAGTGGAATGGGACTTCCTGCCCAGTTGAAGGAATATGATCTATTTTACCTGTCAGGGGAATAGGCAGAATATACATAAACACAACAACAACAACAACAACAACAACAACAACAACAACAACAACAACAACAACAACAACAACGAAGAAGAAGAAGAAGAAGAAGAAGAAGAAGAAGAAGAAGAAGAAGAAGAAGAAGAAGATGCTTAGGGCTGCCATATTTCAAAAAGTAAAATTCCTGAGCTTTTCTTGAGCTTTTTTTTGGAACAAACCCAAATTGTTGGGGAAACCTTTTTGGGAGCAAAAAATCGGCAAAATGGATGCCATTTTTACACCCAGAAACCAGAACATGTCAGGAATTTTCCTGACGTAGGGCAAGCCTAAGGATGCTGGAGTCCCACACGTTGGCTCAGAAGAACAAAGTTCCATTAGGTCCAACAGGATTTACTCCCAGATAAGGCCTCCAGATAGCGGTCCATGGATCATAGAATTTTAGATCTGTAGAGTTTAAAGGGACCCTGAGGATCATCTAGTCCAACCCCCTGCAATGAAGAAATTTGCAACTACGGGGATCAAACCTGCGACCTTGGCGTTCTCAGCACCACCCTCTTAACTACGGTAACCAACTGAACAATCTGCCGGAGGTCCACGAGCTTCATTCTGGTGGCCTGTGCGGTGCATCCGCATTACCGATTATATCGTTTTATTTATTAAACTTGTACACCGCCCTTCCTCTGAAGATGGAACCTAAAAGCACAACATGAAAACACAAAATGCCTAACAAAATGCATAATAAAACACTCCCATTCCCACCCATATTTTAACGCTGAGCTTTAACTGCTTTCCTTCTGTTGCATTTTTTGTACCGTCTATGGAATTCGAAGTGTGACAAAAATAAATGAAAGGAGGCGCCGTGGGAAAATTTTAAAACAACAAAAAACAGTTTTAAGACAACCAAAACCCAAACCAGGCACTGCCTGGCAAGGGCATGGAGGGGGGAAGAAACCCCAAAACCCCAATTCAAATGGTTCCGCCAAGCTCCCCTCGGCCGTCTTCAAACGGGGAAAGTTTGAGGATCCGCCTGCGCGCGGGACTGCGCTCCTCCAAACTGCGCACAGCATTGCCAAGGCTGGCGCTTTAGCCCCGCGGAGCGAGGATGCTCCCTGCCTCCTCCTCCCACCACTGCCCAACCTTGAAGGCATCCTTTTCGCTGCACTTTCCCAAGCTCCCGCCAGGGGTCAGCAGCCTCCCTTTCCCCCGCGCGCCGCCGAGGCGAGGCGACTGTCTAGGACTTCGGAAAAGAGGAAGGGGAGCCACCTCGACGGGCAGGCCGTTTGCTGAGCATGGCGGCGGCGGCGGCGGCGGCAGAGACCGAAGGGAGCGCGAGGCGGAAGATGTCGCTGCGCAGGTGTGTGTGTGAGGCGGGGAGGAATGTCTCCTTGGCCTCTTTCCCCTCTGCCCTCCTGCCCCAGAGTTATTATTATTAGGTTGGCTTGGGAGGGGAGAGGCTCAAGCCGGGGGGAAAGGGGGAATCCGACACACGCGTCCACACATTCACACGCGCACCCTGGAGGCGACGCGGGGGGCGCGCGCAAAGCCAGAGGGCTCCTCGCGGCGTTGAGAGCAATGTGTCTGGAAGGACAGGAAGGCGAGGAAAATTAACAGGATAATATTTAAGGAGCAGCGTTATTATTATTAGTAGTAGTAGTGTGTGTATAATAAAATAAAATTTATCATATACATACATACATATATATATTTATATATATAATTATTATTATTATTATTATGTGGGGGCGGGGGCAATATGTTGTGATGTCCTTGCAGGCAGCGGATTGTAGTTTTCCAGAAGTTTTCTTCTGCGGATGATAATCTGGGGCTAAATTAGCCTTCCTCTTAACTTTGGGTCAAGGCAACTTATTTTAAAAGGGATACCAGATAGCCATGCGCTGCTGGCCACATGACCCGGAAGCTGTACGCCGGCTCCTTCGGCCAATAAAGCAAGATGAGCGCCACAACCCCAGAGTCGACTGGACCTAATGGTCAGGGGTCCCTTTACCAGATAGCCCACGCCTTTCTTAAAAATCAACACCACCTTATTTGTTACTTATTTATTAAATTTGTACATAGCCCTGGGCAATGTAACGATACATTGCCCAGGACCGGTTTGAGGGTCAGAGCATGATGGCATTTTCACCTGGCGGTAGGTATATCACGGGTATAGGGCTTGCCTGAGCCTGGCTCTCTTTGCCACCAGTGTCTGGCATGTGGAGGGAAGACCCAACTGTATTGGCTCCAGTCCCGCAAGGCCCTAGGGTGAAACCGCCGCTGTTTCGGAGGTGGTCTATGCTCAAACAATACGTGATCTACGCTCAAACAATGCGTGATTTTTGTGTATTTTGACTTGTTCCATATCAAGTACAATAAAGTAGACAGCATTAACTAAGACACTTAAGTGATTAGCTGTGAAGGGCATAGAAACCCTGTCAGGAGAAAAAAAAAGGCAGCCCCAAACCACAGTCCCAGAGTTATTAGCTCACTGTTGCCTTTTGGCTGATCTGTAAACCATTTCCTCAAATTTACGGTGTTAAACTATTGCCTGGGTCAGTCTGACCTAGCTTTCAAATTTAATTTCTAAAAATGTTTCTGCAAGAAAAAGAGGGACAGCAGTTAAACCAGAAGTTGAGATGACTGTGCGTAAACAAGGTCATTGTGTTCTGATGGAAGTATGTGAAGAACTTTGTGGATCATAGGTACTTCTTGTGATCGGGCACATTCTCTCACCAAAGGATTCATTTCAGAGCACACATACTCCAATCAGACTTTCCCCCCACTAAAATAGGAACTCTGATGTAAAATCACAGACTTTGCTATTAAGATGTTACCTCATCCATGATAGGGCAGGAAGATCACTTGCTAATGAATAGAAGAGGAGAAGTAAAAAGCAAGTGCAAGCTTGGTGTTGGAGAAATACTTGTCCAACCTTTTCAGAATAGTGGCAGCTCATTAGAGGAGCGTTAGTTTATGTTTTGTTGTTTCTGACTGAAGGCTCTGAGCTACTCATATTACTTGTGTCTGTATCCCAGAGCCTTTTGCTGGAAGCATATCGATAATACTTAATCCTTGTTATTGAGAGATGTTCTGGGCCACTAATGTAAGATAGATTTTTAAATACTATTTGTATGCACCAAAAACATTCTGGATACACACACACACACACACACACACACACACACACTTATCAAATAGATCTATTGCTTATTAGCATGAAGTGACGCTTTCTCAAAATGGTATTTTAGCACCCATGTTATTCCAATGTAAAGATGTCTCTTTTCCTTTTTTTCTCCTTTCAGTTGTGAAATCTGCAATACAGAAGAAGCAAAATATCGATGCCCCCGTTGTATGAAATACTCATGCAGGTAGATATAAACTGATGGGCATCCCTTGCTTATATTTTTCTTGTGTAGTGAAAAGAGAGTGACAAGATTGCTTTGCTTTCTCTGTGTGCTTTCAGTTTGGCCTGCGTGAAGAAACATAAGACTGCATTCAGTTGTAATGGAGTAAGAGAAAAGACAGCGTTTGTTTCCATAAATGAGTTCAGTGATTTACATCTTCTAAGTGGTAAGAGAGTCTCTAAAAATCTCAATTGTTCTAAAACCCCAGGGTATTATTGTGATGGCTGGTTATAGAGGAGGCAATGCTCTACATCTACAATGTTCTATACCTACCATTATATAGTGTTGTTGGAGTTTCCTATCTGCATTGCCAGTAGGACAAGGCCTTGGGTGGCACTACTGAAGTAATAATGCAATCCTTAGTGTGTTTACATATAAATAGGTTGCTTTGAACTTAGGGTTTAGGATTGCAGCCTAAGTATAGCTGCCATCAGCAAATGTATAGTTGCACAGAGATGTTAAATGGAACAATAAATACAGCTTGTGGGGCAAATGAAAGAAAACAGGTCCTCCTGCTCCTTGCTACCCTACAAACTTTGTCCACCTTAGAGAAATCTGGCCCTGTATGAAGCAAGTGAGTAATGCACAGTAGGTAAGTAGTTAGGATGGTATTAGCACAGGCATTTATTTCATTTAAAACATTTTTGTCTTGCCTTGCTGCTTCAGATAGAGGCACCAAGGTGGTTCACATTTAAAAAAAACCCCATCAATAATATCACATATTTAAGCTTTAGAAAGCACAGCAACCAAATAACAAACTTTCACTGCACACCCTCTCTTATTTGCTGTGAACTTATGCTAAAACCCATCACTTTCATTCGATCCCTTAAGAAACACGTTGTAAAGGGTATTGGGAGCTAATTTCATTTGAGCCTTTCCCCCGTTGCCCTTCTTAATTTCAGATTACCGGTTTCTGGAAGATGTGGGAAGAACGGCTGATGGTGCTGCTCGAGACGACACTTCACATAGACCAAAAAGCAATAAATTTGTAAGTCTTTCTAGCTACCTTGAGCATACTACAGAAAACAAATGTTCATTGCCTTTTTAAAAAGCAAAAGGGTGGTATTAGAAACTTAAATGACAAATACCAGATGGGGCAGATGGGGGTGGAAGGAAGAATTTTGATTCAGTCACAGTAGTTACTTATTATCCTTCAAACTGAAAAACATACTGATCCCTCTAATTGAAGGGTAATGTTTTAAAGAAATTTGTCAAAGAAAATCACTTTAAGTACAAATTATACACAAATGTGTGTATTTAACACACACACAAACACCTGATGTGTGCAAAGGTTTGTGTTCATTTAAAAACCCACAAGAACAACAAAAATGATATCCAGCTGTTTTGAGCAGAGAAATGAGTGCGGAAAAGATTTAAGTGCCCCTTTTCCCCATTGCTTCTTCACTTTCAGTCACCCCTATTGGTAGCAGATTTTCTAAAAGCAAAGTAAAGAAACAAAACCTCATTAACTCAGAGGATGTGTTTTTTTAAATGAAGCATCAGGAAAAACCCATCTCTTCTGAATTTAGTCATTTGTTAACGTAGCGATATTAATTGGTGACAGGGCTTAATTTTGTTTGTAGTCAGACAGTTTGGCTGCTTTTCTGTGTGTCAACATGCGCCCCCCCCCCCAGTAGCCAATGTGTTGTCCTCCAGATGTTGCTGTATTTTAAGAGGTTGGAGAGATTGGCCAGATAGAATGGCATCTCAAGCCAGCTTTTGTAGAACATTGGCTTCTTCCATTCCGCCCCCTCCCCTGGTAAGTTACATTAATTTTAGTAGGTGTTTGGGGGACTGTTCACTTTCCATCTCTTGCCAAGCCTGCGTCCCCAGCTGGATCTCTGCAGCTGCAAAGTAGCCCCAATGAAACCTCCTCTGGAGACTGGTCCAAAACGAGCTGTGCACCTGGGCTGGCCAAAGCTAGATGGCCTGCGTCAGGGTTCACAGGGACAATTGTGCAGGTTTGGGGAGTGTGATATATACGGTACATCCATCTACCCTCAAGGTGGAGGGCAGCCTTTGGGCATTATAATGTAATCTAATCGCATTATTCATTTAGTTCCTCTTGACACTTAAAGGTTGCAGTGTATGATACAATGAGAGATTGTGTTGTTCACACTTAGTTTTCCTCCAAAGATAACACATTTAGTGAGTAATGCCACGCTAACTCCACTATCAAGATCATCTCAGTCTTGTGCTTTCAGAAACAGCACTAATAACTCTTTTTAAAAGTAGTTTAAAAATATTTGTCCTTCAAGTCAGATTGAAAAGAATTTGAGGAACGAAACTACAGCATTTGCCTGTATTAGCGGGAACAAGATCCAATCCAGCTTATTACATTATGTCCTGATAGCTTGATAATTCTAAATTTTATGGGTTGGATCAGGGAACTGAGTTTCATGGGTCTGAAAAGAGTGCAGGAACAATTTTGGTAAAAACTTTCTTTACTCATTTAGAAGGAATGTGCCCACGTTTCTATCCCGTGAAACTGCAACATGAAAGAATCTCATCTCAGCCTCTTGGTTGCTAGAGGGTCGGAACATTTTTATTTGTTTATTTTTATTTAACAGAACTTATATACCACTAGACTGGTATATGTGGCTTACATAAATATGAAACATTAAAATTATTGCTAAAGACAAGTCTTTAAAAATATGCAGAAGGTGATTAATCATAGAATCATAGAGTTGGAAGAGACCACAAAGGCCATCGAGTCCAACCCCCTGCCAAGCAGGATTAAAATATACAGTATCTGAAAAGAAATAGAACACATGTAACACATAAGCTGGGACGTGGGTGGCGCTGTGGGTTAAACCACAGAACCTAGGACTTGCCGATCAGAAGGTCGGTGGTTCGAATCCCTGCGACAGGGTGAGCTCCTGTTGCTTGGTCCCTGCTCCTGCCAACCTAGCAGTTCGAAAGCATGTCAAAGTGCAAGTAGATAAATGGGTACCGCTCCGGCGGGAAGGTAAACGGCGTTTCTGTGTGCTGCTCTGGTTCGCCAGAAGCGGCTTAGTCATGCTGGCCACATGACCCGGAAGCTGTACGCCGGCTCCCTCGGCCAATAAAGCGAGATGAGTGCCGCAACCCCAGAGTCGGCCTTGACTGGACCTAATGGTCAGGGGTCCCTTTACTTTAACACATAAGCTTAGGTGTGTTCCTGGGTGCTTGTTTTTGCTTTAACAAAATCACATTACTACTTAGCACTGTATTTGCAGTACCATATCAGTATTGTAGCTGTTATAGAGTGCATATACTGTGCATTGTGGGATAGAGTTTTAGTTATTAATGGGCCCAAGTGTTGAATATAGTGAGTAATATCCAGGAACATTGCAAAACGTCTGCAACCTTTGACACCACAGAAGAGTGCTTTACTGTGCTTCCTGTAACCATTTACTAATAAACATGGGCATATAAATTTCTGTTCCTCACATGAGAAATATGGGAGTGGGATTCAAAGGTGATGCCAGCGGAAAACATTTGCCCAATTTAGAAATTGCCTATCTTCTCTGCCCACTCATCTGTGAGAGGGTGTCACTGAGCCAAGGTGAGAAAAAGTATTTCCTCTCTCCCTCTCTCCATTTGGTCACACAGGTAGGTTACTTTTTAGCACAAATACGCAGTGATGGGAAATGCCACTTGTTGAATTACTTACTGCAGGGTTACTGTTAAGGAAGAGGAACCCTGCAAAGGGAGGGAAATTGGTAACTCGCCACTCTCAACCTGGCTGTACACTTAAGAATTTGTGGTGCTATGAGAGAAGCATTTTGTACACCAATATACACAATAGAATTGTTGCTGGTAACAAAATTATAACATATAGAATGTATATATGCATGCACACCTTAGCAAATGTCTTCAGAGTTGTGATGAGGCCTGGAGGCTGTAATATGTGGTTGTTGGTATCTGAATTTAAAGCAGTAGGATCTCATATCATGGTCTGGAATATTAATGCAGAAGTATTAGTTTTTATTTTAGTTGTGTATAAAACCAATCAAACATCTTCTGAATCTTAAGGGGACAGCATGGGTGAAATTTGTTTTAGAGTTCTGATGTATTATTTATACAGTAATACGTAAATAGTTCTTCATCAAGTAATGGCATTTATGTGCTACTAAAAATGTACATTGATGGGCCTTTAAACTACAGCTTTAAGTATAATTATGCTTTTAGTGACATCTTACTGAGACATAAATCCAAATGAAATTGGTGAGATTTACTTCCAGCTATATATGTTTTATATTAAGCCATTAATGAGAGCAACTACTTGTGTAGCTTGTGAATTGCACTTTTGGTTATTTATCTGATCTCTATAAAGACTACTATACTAAAATAGTATAAATCAATAATAATGTTAACTCCTGGAAATTAAGCCCAATACCTATCTGAGCCAGCGGGGTTTAGGTCCTCATGTAGAAATTGTACTTGCTCTTTAGCTCTGTTTCATTGGCTGTGTTTGGATGTAATGTTAAACCACAGTTTAGTGTTTCACGAACAAGCTGCGTTGGCCCTTGGACTCAAACATTCCACCCTCTCTTCCTTTGGTATATCTGTAAGGAGGAGATCAGAAGTTTCCACTTCTGTTTTAAATTAACTACAAATAAGCAAACCTAGATAAACAGTGGTTAATCTTAACTATGCTTTGTTGAAACAAGCCAGCTTCATAAACTGGTTTGCATTTGGGTTGTTTCAGTAAATAATCATTACAATAAGCTATGTTTCATCCATGTTCAGGTATCTCAACAAGCAACGATGAATCAAAAACCAAAGCAGCAGTTTCCAAACTTCTCCTTATGGTCACAGCATGCAAGTGCAAAGCTCACTGCAGCTCATTCTTGTAACACTTACTAAACCATGGCTTAGCATTGCATAAAAACAAGACCATTAGCCTGGACTTTGAAATTGTCAGTAATTATTTCTTCTGTCTTTTGAAACACTCAATCAGGTGAATTTTTTGAGAAACCGAGCTCGAAGGTACGACATCTGCCTACGAACTTTGCCAATTGGATTCACAAAGAGACGAGAGAATTCTACGTTCTTTAACAACAAGTAAGTTTCTAGTTAATATTACTGTGGGGATAATGTCATCAAAAGTTGTCATTCTGAATAACTTGTGGCCCCCCAAGTTAAAGCTAGCCCATCAGCCAGAAAGAGTGACTTGACCAGAAACTCAGTGATACCTGTTTTTTGGTCAAGGTTTGCTAGGACTGCAAAAATAGGTTTGGACTGTGCTAAGTTGAAAGGTCCCAAGTTATACAGACCTGTTCTAAATGTCATTCTCATGCATTAAATTTAAGCCTATACGTCACAATTTAGTATTAAGCCCACTGAAATAAAAAGCGTTGTGTATGCTTAACTTTGTGCTTGATTTTAGCCCATGGTATTTTAAAGATTTTTTTCTTTAATTAATTCCTTTACTGTGTGCTAAACTTATGCCATGGCGATAGTTGGACAATAGGAACAATCCCTTGATGGATATTTAGGTTATATAAACAATATAGTTGACATTAATTCAATGTCTTCACCAAACAGTTTCCGTACATTCTAATGAATATTTGATTAAGCAAAATTTTGACGGAGGGAGTAGAAAATAACTTGCACTTCTTCTTTTTGGGAGAATATAGGGTAGGATTCACCTAAGTAACCCCATCGACTTAAGCCGGGGACAAAGCCTTCTGCTTGCACAATGGGACTCCCCACCCACTTTCTCTCCTCCCTTGCAGTTGGCTCAGGGGGGTGTCCAAAGAACCCTGCACTAACAGTGTGCCTGGGGAGGGGAGAGGGGGCTCATTCCATCTGGCAAGCTGAAGTTGAACATTGAATTCCATCCCATAGTATTTCTGAACTACAAAGCACATTTTAGCAAATACTGGGATTTTTCAAAATGATGTGAATTGGGCAGCATGTTACTTGTCAAGTGAAATTAGAAATATACTTTCAGTAACATAATGCACCTACAGTCCGTAGAGCATGAGACTCTTAATCTCAGGGACGTGGTTCAGATGTCCCTTACTTTGCAATTTATTTATTTTTGTTCTGTATGGGGCAATCAAGAATTTTGGGACCCTTTAATGAATCCACTTGTGTTTCTGTTAGTGGTAGGTAGAGGCTTTCTGTTTACTAGTGACCAGGTACTTATGGGTCACGTGTTTGTGTGTGTGGTTTATGCCAAAGGAATTGTTTTTGTTTCTGGCAAACAGAAAGTCCTCAGGAAACAATGATAGAAATGGAAGGTGAGAAGCCCTAGAGTAGTACCTTGGAAGGAACACTAGAAAATCATCTCTCATTGACAGATAGTGATGGAAGGGAAATGTGACGTTTCACTATAAACCAGTAGATGTCTCTCTTGCAGCATGTTAGCAAACAGATTCTCCAACACTGATGTGCTTGCAAGGAGAAATTATGAAACCAGCCCAAATAGTTCTCTATTGAGCATGTATTTTCTGAACTAAGCAGCAAAGCATCACAGGAATTTGCAGAAAAGTTACCTAACACTTACGTCTAGGATATAAAAGATAATGCCTGTATGCAGCTTTGCAAAGCAAATGCAATATTTCTTTCTTCCAAAAAATACGATGCTGCATCTTTTCTTCCTAGCAACAGGACTCAAATAATTATTAAGTCTGACAACCTTTTAGCTTGCAGCAATTTTACCCTAAGTAAATCCAGAAAACCATTTGGCCAGTAATAATTTACAATGATGCGCATGTAACTTATTGGTATGTGCAGTTGTTGTTTTTTAATAAGCTACCCACCCTTCCTGCAAGGAGTTCCCTGTTTCCTCCATCCCATTTTATCCTCACATCAACTCAGTGAGGTAGGTTAAGCTAAGAGATAATGACAGGCACAAGGTCACCTAATGAACTTCATGGATGAGTGAGGATTTGAACCTGGGTTTCCTTAACATTTTTTCCAGTGCTCTGCACTATAGCACTCTACTATGTATGGTTCTGTTTGGGTCACTATTCCAAGGCGGAAAAAAATTGCAGCTGCCTGGCTGGTATTTGGGTAGCAAAAAAAAAGGGAATATTCTTTCAAATGCAGAATGAGGTTCCAAAAACTGATGTTGACCCCTTAACATGATGCTGCCAAAAATATAAAATATTTCCAAGCCTTAGCTCGGGGTGGAGAACTGGAACCTGCCAGCATGCTAGATCCTTATGTTCCCCACCAGAGTGTGCCAATGTTGACAGGTGCGTAGGACTGCCAGCATGTAACTCACCCGGCATCATAATGTGATCAGGTAACTGACACCTGACACAGATCAAAGCAGGTAGTTGTAGCCCCCAATCAGTTGACTGTCAATTAGACCAGCCTCCTTTGAAGATGCATTTTCAACTGCAATCAGCTGATTGGCACTGGGAAGAGGCTTTCAAAAAGGCTTACTTTAAATTTTCATCCCTTGAACTGATGGTCGGTTAGGGGAAACCGCTTTGAAGTCCCTGCAGAGGGGGAAATGCTTCTTTTAAAAACTGCATTCCCCCTGCCCTGAAAGCTTGCAAAACACCTAGTGCAGTACGTCCAAAGCACCAAGTTCAGCTGATTGTCAGATGCTTGGGAAGTGCTATTCAAAGGGCTTGCAAGAACTTCCGGTAAGCTGGTTGGTAGTGCCTGCAAAGCCCCTTGCATCCAAGACCTGCCCCTTCAGCTGTAATGCACATTGCCATGGCTTGGTCAAAATGGCCTTGTGGGACAAGTGTGAAGGCCTGATGGTTTGGCATGAGGGCCAGAGCCTCTCTGCCTTTTAGATTATATCACTCGCCAGCTGTATGGCATATAGACTAGGCAGATCAGATCACGTTTTTGTCTAGAATTAAGCTTTGGGTACATTGAGATTTCTTGCATACACTTTGAACCATTTTTGTTCCGCCTTTAACAAAAATAGATTTAGCTTGGCCACAAGCTGTAAACCAGTATAATCATGGTCTCTGTTCATTTGGGTTTCTCCTCCAGTCAGCAGAATGCAGACAAAATACTATCAACAGCAGCCATTTAAAAACACACTCATTATACTAACAGACCCATGTAGTGCAAATCAAGCAGTACAGGTGCGAAGCAATCAGGGGAAACAAAAACATGTAAAGTGTAGCTTTAAAATGCATTATTCAGTGGTTGTCAAGCCATGATGTCTTGACACAATGATGGTTGAACTCATGTTTCAGAATCCACATTAAGCTCCACGGCCCGACGTGTAAAATTCATGTTGATGTAGATACATGTTAACAATACAGTTTAGACAGACTGTCAGAATTGTGTACTCTGTCAAATGCTGCAATGCTATTTGTCTTCCATGTATTGAGAACAGTAATGTAGCTTCTGATCATAAAAATGAACTGAAAGAACAATAGCAGTTGCATGTCACAGTAAACCGTAAACATTGGCTTACCACGCACAAGAAAATTGTGCTCTCTTTGTTCCTTTGAGCTTGTGCTGGGAGGAAGCAAACCATGATCCCTAGCTTAATGTTATGTCCGAACAAGGGGTTTGTGATGTTTTCCATGGTCAGTAAGCCAAGACCAAACTTTATTGTGTCGTCGTTTGTTGAGAGTAATGGGAGCAAAGCAGCCCGTGATTAGTCCTTCAGATGCAACACTAAAGCAGGTGGGTTGAAGTGGGGAGCAGTTTGCTTGTGTGGAGTAGTAAGCCAAGGTTTATGTGCAAATGTAGCCAATAAAGTAGACATTGTTTTCAATCAATGAAGAATCTTGAGAATTTTTAAATTGTTACATGTTTAGTCGCCTTGGAATTATCCTTCTTGTAAATTTTAAATCTGCTGCATCATCCTTGAGCAAGAGGGCCTTCTGGCAGTTCCCTCAATGCAAGAAGCGAAGTTACAGGGAACCAGGCAGAGGGCCTTCTCGGTAGTGGCACCCGTCCTGTGGAATGCCCTCCCATCAGATGTCAAAGAAATAAACAACTATTGGACTTTTAGAAAACATCTGAAGGCAGCCCTGTTTATGGAAGCTTTTAATATTTGCTTAATTATTGTATTTTAATATTTTGTTGGAAGCCGCCCAGAGTGGCTGGCGAAACCCAGCCAGATGGGCAGGGTATAAGTAATAAATAATAATAATTATTATTATTATTATTATTATTATTATTATTATGCACCTAGCAAGGTAGTTTTCCTGCTCTTGTGAGGCCTTTCTGGTAAGCCATTTGTGTACCATGAAAATGGACTTCAGTCAGTTCTAGGTGAATTGTCTTGTTATACAAATTATAGGGATCAAAAAATAGTTGAGCTTGCAGTAAAGTTAGCACAACTTTCTTGCTTATATATCAAATCTCTACTGGGTTGTTACTGATGCTTAGCTAAGCTTCAGTAAAACAGAGGCTCCTCTGGTGCCTTACGTGGTTTAGGACCTCAGCTATGTCACACTGGCGCTTCAGTGGTTGGTGTGTCATAAAAGGCTCAGCATTCATGTACTTTAATGAGATTTCTCGGTGGGGGTGGGGGTTCACAGGAGACTATAATCACTTAATTAGTCTGGATCTGTGTTGTTTACAGAAGCTTATGAGACATATATAACACTGCAGGGACTTCGTTTACTGAAAAGTGAATTAAGCCTGGCTGTACATGCATTAAGGTTCAGGAATGAATGCTGCTTCACCTTTGCAGACCTCCTCTACCCCCCCCCCCTATTTTTACTGGTGCAGGACAAGCCATCTTGGAGGCTCTGTGAGAAAGGTGGGATATAAATTTCTTAAATAAGTTTAAGGTCTGTATTAAAGCAGCAGTTGGGTCGTTTGAAAATGCCATTGCATATCCCGGTTCTCATTTCCCCTCCTTAATGTCTAGTTCTGAACAGAATGAAGTAATGCACTTACGTATAATTATGTTTGGGTAGTAGCTATTGTCCTCCCATGCCTGTGGTTCCACCGTTCCTCTTAACATACCTCAGCATTATTTTTTGCAGCCTTGTGGACAGACCCCCTCAAGGACTCATGATTAGACTGGCTAAAAAACAGAAGCTTAGCATGTGGTGGCCCATACCCAGTGGACAAACAAGTAACCACTAGTTAAAGAAGAATAAACCTTTTCATAATTACTTTGGCTTAATTTTGCCCCACTTGACGTCCATATCAATGCAACAAGTGGTTTATATAACTTGTGGTTAGTGTTTCCAAAACCTTAGCCCATTTTTCTTTCTCATAACTTGCCTTTTGATTACTCTCACCTTAAAAAAAAAAGGCAAAGAGCTACAGCTAAGCCCGTTCTGTGACCTTGTGAATTCTAGTAAGATAATTCAGATTAAATTTCCTGCATTCATGGCAGTGCGATTCCTCAGGGGTAAGGGAGAATAGAGCACTGGACATGAAAACAGATAGCCTCAGGAAATCCACTTTCAGCTGCCGTTTATTCTGTAAGCAAGTGGATCCCTTGTACAGCAAGGGTGGCTATCCTGTGGACCTCAAAATCCCATCGTTGGACTGCAAATCCCATCCAGACTCGTTTTCTGCCTGGTCAGCTTCTAAAACACGGCATCTTCACGCTAGCGAAACTTGCATCTTGCTTTCTGTGTAAATATTGCACAGTGCTTTGCTCGTTACTATACTGATCGATCCAACAATATCTCAAGTGAATATTTAATTGTACATAGCAACAGATTTGTCTACTGTTTTGCTACTGTGCATGTTTCTGTAGCAAGTTGGACTCAGCTGAATGTTTTATCTGCCCAATAGTCAAAGTAACTTTGCTATGGCAACAGTGCATTGTTTCCAGTCACTGATATGAGAGCCTCTTAAACTTGATACTTGTATTTATATATATATATAGCCTTGTATAATAAAAGAAGTATTATCACATCTTAAATATCAGGGAAGCAGCAGTTCATACATTTTAAGCTATACAGAATGTAAAGGCACCATTGTGCTTTGAATGAAGCAGTAGTCATTAGTTCTGTTCAATGTTGGGTTGAATTGACTTGTATAAACAACCCAAGGTGGAAGTGATTTTAAGAAGTTTGTTACCTGCATAAGTGATCATGTGAACAATCCTTTCGTGATGATATTGATCTATCTTTTCCTACCACCTTGTTTATTTTGGACTCTCTGCCACAGAGCTCAGGCAATTGCAATTGTGATTAATAGTTTACATAATGAAGTATTCATAGTCTGCGCTGGTTTTGTTTCAGGGAACAAAAGTTCTACTGGCACTTGAAGCTTCTATTTCCTCATAGTCATGCTAAGTTCACAGAAAAAAGGTACCCAAATGTTTTTGTTAGCGTTTGCTTACCATGAAATGTAAACTACTACCATTGTATTGTATCACAGCTTGTTTTGCTTTTTGTTTCATAAAAATGATTATTGCAGCCTTCTTGGCTAAACAATAAACTGAATTCATAGCATAACATTTAAATCTTGTTTTTGAAATACTGTTTTTGTGGTTTGGTTTAAAACCTATTGTTTTAAAATGTCCATCTTTACCACTGAGAGTTGTAACTGATCTGTTATAAAACTGAATGTGTTCCATAGTTTTTGGGTTTTATTTATTCATTCACCATGCAGTCAAGGGCAGGTCTGATCATTATATGGTCTTTGCTGACCCTGTTGCAACACATAGATTTTTCTTGAATTATTACCATCCATTTTGTATCTTGCTTGGTGACTACCATTGCTCAGTTAGGCACTCTCCCAGCTATAATTTCTTATCTAGAAAAGGTGGGAGAAAGCTTGTCTTCCCATAGAACAGATTGAGAGATGTGGAAGATTTCTTTAAAATTAAAGCACCAGCTCATCTCTGTATTATGGAAATGAGACATTTAGAACAGGAAAACCTTTCCTCAAAGGCCCTTGGTATTCTTGGACCTGTGTCAGTGAAGTCAGGTACTCTTTTCTTCTTGAATGTGCTCTTGTGCTATAGCCTTTTCCACAGCTCTGACACTGGGGCTTATATAACTACAGTTTCACACATGTTAACCTGATTATTCTAGTTCTTGCCAGTATTAAGCTTCGTGATTGATACACTTTTGTCTTTTTGTGTAAAGGGTCGCAGATGATAAGCCACTGTATGACATTCTAAAGCGGTATGTTGATCCTCAAGAGTCTGATCCTGTCATTCATCAAAGGTACGTGCTTCTAAATATTTAGCATCCTAACGTTCTGTTGAGATACAAATCAGTCATTAAAGCATATTGGGCAGTCTTGTGATGCATCGTGGCTTACACTCAACAAGCACATTACTTGGTCTGGTTTGTTTTGAATGAAACAGATTTCTTCTTACGTGGCAAGGTTTAGCTAATGTTACGCCTTTCATTTCAGATTAAAAACCTATGCAATGTCCCCTCAGTCAGACATACGAATTTTAATGAAAGTGGAAAACAGACCACAAAACTCCATCAGGTAAGAGATTTTTGTTTTACAAAGCAGCAAACTCTGTATCTCCATTTACCTTTTGAGTAGTAAGGCAGCTATAAAATGGCCAGCTTAGAAGAACGTGGAGCGAAATGTTGTCCCTTAGGTCCAAAACGCAAGACATGCATGGAAGGACGCAGTTACTTTCTTTTCACTTGTGGTACTTTACGGACGCGAGTGGCGCTGTGGGTTAAACCACAGAGCCTAGGGCTTGCTGATCAGAAGGCTGGCGGTTCGAATCCCCGCGATGGGGTGAGCTCCCGTTGCTCGGTCCCTGCTCCTGCCAACCTAGCAGTTCGAAAGCACCTCAAAGTGCAAGTAGATAAATAGGTACCGCTCTGGTGGGAAGGTAAACGGCGTTTCCGTGTGCTGCTCTGGTTCGCCAGAAGCGGCTTAGTCATGCTGGCCACATGACCAGGAAGCTGTACGCCAGCTCCCTCGGCCAATAAAGCGAGATGAGCGCCGCAACCCCAGAGTCGGTCACAACTGGAACTAAGGGTCAGGGGTCCCTTTACCTTTACTTTAGGGAAGAGCTGCTGCTCAGTGATGCAGCACATGTTTTGTGTGTGAAAGAGCCCACATTCATTCCCTAGCATCTCCAGGTAGGACTGGGGGTAAGACCACTGTCTGAACCCATGGAGAGCCACTCCATCTGGTTGATGTAGACTGAGAATGGGGAATCTGCACCACAATCACCCACTACAGCACCAGCCCACTCAGTGGCTTTTAGTCCTTTTCAGTCCAAGCAGGTATCCAGTCCTACCTTTCTTTCTTGCTCTGGGTTTGGTGACAAAGAGAAATCCACAGATCTACATGCTTAACAGCATCCAGAAAGGAAGTCCATAAATAGACTCGGCCACCTTAGAAACAACAGATGCAGCACAGGAGCTGAACTAATTAAGTCCCAGGCAAAAGAGAGGGAGGAATGTGAAAAGGAGAAGAAAGACGGGATTGTAAATAGCTCAGAGAGGTTAGGAAATGGTTATATAGTGTTGCCCTTACTTTAGAGTAAGTTCCATTGAAAGCATTAGGATCTGCTTCTGCATAATCATGACTGGCTCCAGTTCTGTGAGGGTATCTGAATTGTGTGTTACCCAGAATTTCAAAAATATAATAGCTGAAATGCCAATAATACAATCATATTATACAAATCAGATATAGGTGTTCAGTGTGATAACAGCTAGGTATCAGTAAAGAAATACTATGGTGTAAAAAACAACAGGCTTGCTAAATATTCTAAATTCTAGACTCTCCCTCTTGAGTAGGATGCAAAAGCCAATGATCAAAATCTGGATAAATCTCTAAAACAAATTTGCCATCTGGTAATGCAGTAGGTGATTTTATTCTTTTTTTCCCTGTTGTTTTGGGGGGCAGTCAGTTCCAAGTGAGGCTTAGCTGATGAATACTGAATGGTGTTTTTTTGCAGTTCATTGCGTTCCTTTTAGAAATATCTATTTGTCCTCTTCAGAATAAATTAATAACTTTGTCTAGTGCTTTATGTTTGGGATGCCTTCAGAATGACTTCATGCAGTAGGGGATATTGCTTTTTCCAGTAAAGGAAGGAAAGAAACTGCTGCCAAATTATACAATCTGGTTAGGGAAGTTCACCTTCTCCTTTTCCCAGGAGAGTAGTCAGACAAGTCTTTGTAACCAAAGAAGTTGATATTAATTGACAAAATGAGTGTTTGAGATACTTAATTAATTATTTTAATTCAAAGTATAACACTACCCTGGTGATAATTCATGAATGACTGGTATGACTTTCTGACACTTGACTGTAACAAAGTTTTATTGCAGGACAACTTTTCCCTCGAGCTATTTCTCATTGAAAGCCAGCATTACCTGGTTTCAAATGCTCAGTTAGGTGTGTCTCGAGGGTACAGTTAAGCCTGGTTAATATCAGTGCAGATGTTAAACCACGTGGCCTGTGCTAGATCCTTAAACAGTTGACTAGTATGACACCTGCGCTAGCCATTAATGATATATATTTTTTCTTTTGTGAAGAGTCTCTGCTTTATGTTCTTAGGACCTAAACACTGTTCTAGGGTTTTGCTCCTTGTATGGCGGGGACCCCATCAATTGACTGCTGGTTTAGTGCTGTAATTCTGCTGATCCCATTGTAGTAGACTCCAGCCTGAAAGCTAGTATTGGAGCATATGGGAATTCAGGGAGTGTTCACTGGTAGAAGGCATACATCAGCAGAATAGAGAAGGAAGCAATTTTCAGCCATTCATCTTCTCTTCTGCAGCCTTCCTCTGGACGGTTCCCTAACCCTTCAGTGCAGAGGCTCCATGGAGGAAGAGAGGTTGCTGAAAAGTGTTTCTTTGTGTGTTCTGCTGATATATGTCTTTCATTAGCAGAACAACACCCATTAAATTCCACCTTACATATTTTTCTTTTGTTGCAGAATCTACTTTGATGGTTGCATATCAAAAGCACTAATTGGCCTGGTTCACACATAATGCTAAACCATGTTTTTACTGTGGGCAGGCATGAACAAGTTTGGCCCAAGTGAAACTGTGGGCTTATGCATATCCTCCTGCTGCTCCTATTGCACTGAAATTAATTTTTATGAATCTGGTCTTAACATTATACAGTGATACCTCCGTGTAAGAACAGTCCTGTTTACGAACGATTCAGTTTACGAACTCCGCAAAATCCAAAGTAGTCCCAGTTTGTGAACTTTACCTTGGTCTAAGAATGGAATCCGAATGGTGGAAGGGCACTGGTGGTGGGAGGCCTCATTAGGGAAAGCGTGACTCGGTTTAAGAATGGTTTCGGTTTAAGAACAGACTTCCGGAACGGATTAAGTTCGTAAACCGAGGTACCACTGTATTTGAACCAAGGTTTCATAACCCATGTCTGATGTTGACTTGTTACAAAATATACTAGAATTTGTTTTAAACTTGGATCCCAGGCTTAAATGTAATGCTAAGGGTGCAGTAAAAATAAAACTGAACAAAGCATCAGTCAGCCTCTCAGCTGCAGGGAAGCAGCAAGTGCAATGCTTCATTTGGGCTTATTGAGGCATATGCTGCTAAAGCAATAAACCATGGTTTATGCGCGAACCAGGCCATTGTGTACCAATCATGATATCTCAAGATGACCTTACTTTCTTTAAAGCTAGTGGTAGAGCAGATGTATTTGGCGACTTGTTTCAAGCATAGTGTGGGAAAGAGACAGACTGCAAGTGAGTCTTGTAAGACTTTTGTGCTTAATGCTCTCTCTGTTTGAAGTCTTTGTTCTTCGTTGAGGTAGTATAGTCCTCCTTATGGGAAATCTGCAATAAAACATCAGTCTTAAGTTTTACTTTCAGAACGGATGCTTATTTCAGCTGTGTGATATCCGTTTTTGTGCCCAAATAGACATTTCCTAGTTCAGTTTAAGGATATGTAAAGATGATGGTTACCTTTCGGTTTTGTCAGTGCCTTAAGTTCTATCTTAGGGACGCGGGTGGGGCTGTGGGTTAAAGCCTCAGCGCCTAGGACTTGCCAATCGAAAGGTCGCGGTTCGAATCCCCGCAGTGGGGTGCGCTCCCGTCGTTCGGTCCCAGCGCCTGCCAACCTAGCAGTTCGAAAGCACCTTCGGGTGCAAGTAGATAAATAGGTACCGCTTTATAGCGGGAAGGTAAACGGCATTTCCGTGTGCTGCGCTGGTGCCGGTTCGCCAGAGCAGCTTTGTCACGCTGGCTACGTGACCCGGAAGCGTCTGCGGACAGCGCTGGCTCCCGGCCTATAGAGTGAGATGAGCGCACAACCCTAGAGTCTGGCAAGACTGGCCCGTACGGGCAGGGGTACCTTTACCTTTACCTAAATTCTATCAGTGCTATTTTCCTATATAACTTAAAAGTTGCTAACTATTTTTATGGCATTGGTGGGGATCTTCCAGACTGTGGGCCAAATTTAGGCCCATGAGGCCATGGAGATAGGCCTGTCAGGCCGTTTTGGGTGATCCATGCCCACATTTCCCAGGCTTGGTGTCATAAGAAGTTAGGCATGGGAAAGTTAAAGCCATGGCTCAAAACTTGAAGCGGCTGCTGTAAAGGAGAAAGAATCGGGTACACTGAAGAGCACACTTCCAGTTCCTTTGCAGCTGCAGAAACCAGGGATGGAAAGCAAGTATTTTAAGGATTGCAACTTGCTACCATTCATTTTAGCACTTGCATGGATTAGACCCAGTAGCTGCAATCAAGTGGACAGTCCTCAAAAAAAAAAAAAACTTTAAAAAATGTAACCATGATCTGTTGAACTTCATCCAAGCATAACAGCTTAGTTTATAGCTGTGGCTTAGAAAACTTGTGGTCTATGAGGAGAGTTCTTGAGAAGCTTTCTACCTCCTGTTCCTTCACTACTGTTCCAAGGGGAAGTAAACTTTTGGTGAAACGAATTACTCTTTAAGTACGTCATTTTTGTGTGATCTTAACAAAGCTTTGCATACCTAAAAGTCGAAAAGGGTTTAAGAGTCATTGCTATAAAATCTGCTTTTGTTTCTCATGTTATGTTGGTTTCCTGTGGGTATTTACATTCTGCTGAAAAACAAGCTGGCTTTGTCTCATATGCTTAGTAAGAAAACTCCTGCTTACATTAAATACACTTTGAAATAACCATGAATACAGTCGTACCTCGGGTTAAGAACTTAATTCGTTCTGGAGGTCTGTTCTTGACCTGAAACTGTTCTTAACCTGAGACACCACTTTAGCTAATGGGGCCTCCTGCTGCCGCTGCATCGCCTGTTCTTGACCTGAAACTGTTCTTAACCTGAGACACCACTTTAGCTAATGGGGCCTCCTGCTGCCGCTGCACCGCCGGAGCACGATTTCTGTTCTCATCCTGAAGCAAAGTTCTTAACCCGAGGTACTATTTCTGAAGAAGTGTGCATGCACACGAAAGCTCATACCAAGAACTAACTTAGTTGGTCTTTAAGGTGCTACTGGAAGGAATTTTTTTTGTTTTGACTATGGCAGACCAACATGGCTACCTATCTGTAAC